GTGTACGCACTCGCCCGCCTCGCCAGCCCTCCTTCCCATCACCTGCCTGAGCCCACAGCCTGGAATTAACCTTGCTCTCGTTCTCGTACTCCTTTTCCAGTGGGCAAAAGGAAGCCCAGAGGGGACAACTGGCTTGTGCTAGGCCACATAGAAAAGGAGCTGAGTTTCATCCTAAAATCCACACTCCTAAAGGTAAAATCCATGGAAATGGTGTACGGTGTATGGCTCCCTTTCCTTCATGTTCCTGTGCCTCTCCTCACCCATACTAGATCTTTCCTCCCATCCCTTACGTCACAGGAGGAAGAGGCGCTGGGACACAGGTAGCGAAGGTCGCAGGGGGGTTGGGGTGAGGACATCTTGAGTTGCTTGAGGCCAGTTCTGTCGCCATCACCTCCTCTCCCACCCCCAAGCACCAAACTGAGATGAAAGCAAGCAGCTCTCTTCCTTGTGTTCCTTCTCCACTGAGCGCAGACTGACCTGGAACATGGGAGTTCATCGAGAGACAGCCTGTCCAAGCGTACATTGTTTTGTGGGTGGGGACACCAAGGCACTCCTCTCTTGATCCTCTCCATTTCAGAACTCATTACCTGCCCCTGAGCCCCAGAAACCAGGTGTGACATCTGGGAAGTGGCTGGGCATTTTCTTTTGGATTAGATGCCCCAGGAGGCAAAGGCAGAGAGAAGCCCCTCTCCCCTCCCTCCTTAGCCGAGGCGCTGCTACATCCAGGCCCAGGTCAGCTGAGTCCAGAAAGAGAAATTCTACCTTTGATAAAAACCGGTAACACTGGTTGCCTCCAAGAAGGGGAACTGGGAACACATCACTCTGTACCTTTTTCTTAAGGAGACTTTATTTTTTAGAGCAGTTTTATGTTTGCTGCATAATTGAGAAGCTACAGAGCGTTCCCACTTACCACCTACCCCCGCACGTACACACAGCCTCCCCCACTATCAACTTCCCACCAGAGGGGTACATTTGTTACCATTGATGAACATCCACTGACACGTCATCGTCACCCAGAGCCCAGTTTACCTTAGGGTCCATTCTTGGTGTACATTCTATGGGTTTGCACAAATGTATACTGACATGTATCCACCATTACAGTATCCTACAGAGCATTTTCATTGCCCTAAAACTCTGCACTCTGCCCTTTTATACCTTTTGAATTCTGAACCATGTATATCTAATTCATATAAGGGAAAACGGTTTAAATATTCTTCCCAACTCAGAATGCCAGGAGATCCTGGGGTTGGGGGGTAGTCCTCGAGTGGAGCTCATTCACAGCGCCTGGAGGCAGCTGTGGACAAGCCCAAGTGAGGGAGGGTTTGTGTTTCCTGTACTCTTTAATCCCTGCTATATGAGCAGTTGTCTGAATACAAGGGAGAAAGAAAAAGTCCAGCTAATCAATGTATTGTTCTATTCCACAAGGTTTTACTATGTTACAAATCTTCAATCATTATCTGGTTTTAAACATGGCGGATAACACCTTTCACCATGGCAGAAGAGGGACCAGGCAGGGCCTCACATTGGGGGTGAGGGGCAGGAACATAGATGACCTTCTCCCTTCTTGGGGAAAAAGGAAACATTTTCTAACCACAGGCATCCATAAAGCTTTCTTTGTGACCAAATTTAAGTTTTGTCTCTTTGAGACCTTCCACCCCTTTCCAAAGACTTTTTTTTTCCTCCCATGAAAAATGTTAATAACATCCCAGAAAAGGCCAGGGAGAAGGAATTTCACAGTCCCTGGGCAGACGGCTCTAACTTCAGCTTCTCCTGCAGCAAAGGCGGTGGGAAGACTGGGCTGACCCTGGGCAAAAGCAGGGGCAGGGGAGACGGGGCCTGGCAGGGTGGTGGGAGAGGCCACAAACTTCCTACCTGCTAGGAGCTCTGGAAGCACCTGGGGGAGACTGGGGCATGGTGGTGGGTAGGGATTGTCCAGGGGATGCTTGCACATCCAACATTCACACATCTTGACAGCGGCTTTAGGAGATCTCATGCCCATTTTGCAGATGAGGAAATGAAGGCTCTCAGAGGTGAGGTCTCAGCAAACAGCAGAGGCAAGGAGAGCAGGCCCACACTTTCACAAGAGGTCTGGAGCAGGACTGTCAGCACAGAGGTCCCCATGGTGACATTCTCATACAAGCCAACGTGTAGTGGCTGGCTGAAGATCGGCAGGTTGTCATTCTCACTGATGAGGGTGATCTTCACCTTAGTGTAGCCCACATGGTCAGACACACTCTCTGGCAAAGAGGTCAAAGTCATAGCGGTCCATGGTCTCACAGTCCAGGGGGATGGCCACCTGGATGTGAATGTCCGCTTTCCCTTGGACAGAGGTAGGGAGATAATGGGAGTGCTGGGAATCGTTCCCTACCAGATACACCTTGAACATGCTGTTCAGGCCCAAGTTCCATTACTCTATATGATCTTCCCATGGGCCATAGGGCAGGGATGAAGGAACACTGGAGCTTGGAAACCCCTCCAGAGGAAATGGGAGTTCAGAGTGGTTGACTAAGCCACCCAAGGTCGCACAGGACATTGGAGGCAGTGAGGATACAAGTCCAGGCCCAGCTCCCAGGCTGGGCTGCCTTCCAGGCCGGGGGAAGCAGGGTCAAAGCATCCCCCAGGAGCAGCTCCAGGGCAATCTGAGTTACCAGAGCAAACAGAGAGTAAGGCTGAGCACTCCAGAGCCACATCCGAGTGAATGCCAGCAGGTGAAGCCAAGCAGGGAGTTGCCCCGAGGAGGGGAGGTTTGAACTGGCTTTAGGAATGAAGGGAGAATGGACTAGAAGAGTTTCAAAGATTAGCAATTCTAGTTTTGAAATAAGTTACATAAGCCTCGTTGATACTGAGGACGTTAATGATAAAATGAAAAAGTTAGAGTCCTGAAGTGACAGAACAGAGCTAAGGGCTTCACAGCTGAAGAGAAGTCTGGCAAGGCTGAGCTGGGTAAAGGGCACTGCCTCTAATAGTATTTGTCTCTTGACCTTCTTCAGTCTGTAATTTTGACCCATTGAACCTGGATTTGGCCGAGGAGCCAAAAAGGTTCAAGACTAACGGACCAGCCTTTGACAGCTGACAGATCCTATTCTCAGAAGCAGATCCCAGGAATCAGAAGCAAATGTTAGCCTGGTCTTTGCGAGGCAAACTGCTGAAGCAGAACCCAAAATACCAGCAGGAGTGCGGGCGCCTAGGCCTCAGCCAGGCAGGATGTGAAATGTCAGGCCATTAGTCTTGTATTTTTACTGCAGTGGTTACAGGATGGGGTTGATGTAGGAATGAAAACGCATGCTGACTTAGGAGAGTTTTTTGGGGTTTTTTTTTCCCCAGTCTTAAATATCGACACCCACTCACCAGGTTCGGGAACGAGTAAACGCTACAGAAGATATTAAGGGTGAACCTTCATTTCCCCTGGCCTCCATTCCTTGGCTATCAACACGGGCAGAAAATGCCAGGTCAGTGCCAATCGGTGCATGCCAACAGCAGAGAAGTTTATTTCATCTGGCTCCGGGGCAGAACTACAGTCACAACGACTAAGGTGGGAAGTTCCTCAAGTAACTGATACTGTGAGATCAGAAAAGCAGAAGGAGGCCATCAACGTGAGCCAGAAAAAGAGGTAAAAATCTATTCTAATGACAAACCATGCATAACACGTGGTGTGAGATAGGTATTTGTATTTGCAGTGTATTCCTGAAGCCACCAAGTAAATGCATGGACCTCTACATTTTTGGTATGAAAATTCTGGTTTCAACTTATATTCTCCATATTTGAGTTTACTCAAACACCGAAATCCAAGAATTCTCGTAGCTAAGGCAGTTAAAACCAAAAGGATGTAGGTATTGCCCTGACTAGTGAGAAATAGGACTCAAGAATGTCTTCTAATAATCATTGAAGAATTCAAATATGCTTTTGCGGCTGGGAGAGACACTTGAATGTTTCTGTGGCTCCCTCTACCCCAAGACCTCCCCCTGCAAACATACCCAGTTACAGAAAAAGCACCACCACAGAAGGGGTGAATCTGTAACTAACGCTGGTCCAAAGCTCCTACATTCATCAAGGCTACCATTCCAGGGCGCCTGGGTGACTCAGTTGGTTCAACGTCTGACTTCAGTTCAGGTTATGATCTCGGGGTCATGGGATCAAGTGATGAGCCCTGTGTCGCGCTTCTTACTTGGCAGGGAGTCTGCTTCTCCCTCCCTCTGCCCCTCCCCCACTCATGTTCTCTTTCTCTCAAATAAATAAAATCTTTAAAAAAAAAAAAAAGGATACCATTCCAGCAAGTCTTCAGAAGTGTAGCCTCATCCTGGTCAAAATCTGAGCAGACCCCTAAGAATTCTGGAAGGCGGGGTATCAAGTTGTAAACTTCGAATGCTAGTGCTCAAACATCATGGTCCTTGAGATCCAGGCTTTTTGCTTCTCTTCCTGAATTCTCAGGCAATCTTCCCTTCACCCTAACTTGCTCTTTTCCTCCTGGTAAGGAGCAAAACTGACCATTTGAAGGGCATCATTTCAGGCAGCCAAGAACCTCCTTCTTCCTACTTGCCTAAAAGAGGTATGCACATCCCATCAGTGAGAGAGGCTTGGGGAAGCAAAGTGAAAAGTAAAATCTCACACACACACACACACACACACACACACACACACACACACACACACACGATTCTACTCAAACTATAAGCTTTTATTGTATTGTACATATCATTCCTCCAGGACTTGATGAATATGCAGTTGGCATCTTCTCGTTTGTGTAGTGCGCCTAAGGCCTCCTGCCGCATGCCAGGCCCAGGCGAGCAGAGAAGAGCTCCAACTGAAGCTGGAATGGGAGGCTGCCTGGGCGCTGGCAGTGGCCTCATTTCTGAGCTGTCACACTTACTGGATGGAGTGAGATGGGCTGCGACTGACACTTAGCTTGGAATTTCAGTTTCTAATTTTACACTTCTGATTATAGGGCAGTTGGATTGTTTTATAGTCTACTTTAAGATCAAAAGGTTGCCCACTCACTGGGATTTGTTATTCACAATGCTGTATTTGAAATCAAACAGAGACAAAGCAGGCTTCAATATCACAGCTCAGGAAAAACTGGAAAGGAAAGGTGTTCTATTTCTGTGTCCTGAGCGGTTTTCCCCAGAACCTGTTCTAGCCCAGAGAACAAGGGCTTTGCCTCTCAGATGCAAAGGTGGCAGGGAGAGCTGGTCCCCAGCTGGAGGCCAGAGCTGAATTCTTTCTCCTCCTGCTCTGTGTACACCCGACACCTTCCTTCCTGAGTGGGGATATCATTGGCACTGAACAGTTTAAAGGCTCACCATAAGCCAGGCTTCAAGAAAGTTAAAAATAAAACAACAAAATAAACAAGGGCTACTGACAGGGTTCAACTAAAGCTTGTTGCCTATTCTGCTAAAGTCCACACCTCACAGACTTCGGTAAGCTCCCCAACACGCGTTCTAGCACCAGCACTGTGACGGAGCGCCCTCGCCCAAAGATCGTGACCCCAGATCGACAAAGGCCGGTAAGAAATGAATTCTAAAGCTGTAAAAGAGCTGAGCTTGTGAAGCAGATTAAATAATGCGACCCTCACTGGCATGCAGATCGGAGCAGGGAAATGAGACACAGTTGAAAAGACACACCCTCACAATGCACGGATTTGATCACAGGCACAGTTCCTAAAAAGAACGATTTGCAATTCTCCTACAGGTAGTTTAGGAAACATGTCACTAGCAAGAAATGAGATGGTTTCGGCGGCAACAGTGTGACCTGTGGGCACGGAACCAACGTCAAGAGAAAAGGTCCTTGTTTTTTTCTGGGACCACGGGCGCTGGGGAGAAGACTGCCCCCCCCCCCCCCCCCCCCCCCCCCCCACACACACAGGCAGAGGAAATCAGCACAGAGCAGCTCAAGAAGTTCGAGAGCTAGGAATTCAACTTGGGCAATTCAGAGGAGAGGCTTTGACACTTGAAACTAACGTGAGGTGCGAATTGGGAGAGGTTTAAAATTTGGACCCCAGGATCTCTCACACTACCCTGAACATAGACGTCTGCTCCAGAAGTGTTAACTCTACCTGCCGTAACGGGGGGTACAGAGGAGTCCTTCAGAAGCGGTGGCAGGCTGAGTTAACACGGGTGAGGCCAGAGACAAGCTCTCCCCATTCTAGATGTTGGCCGCAGCGTGAAAGAAGTGCCTGTGGTGCCTGGCAGGAGCCCTACCAGCTTCCACTCAATCCACAGAGGGCTTGGGAAAGGTCATCCACTTCGGCCCCCTGGGCATCTGGAGGGGAGACACACGTGGCCACGAGGGAGGAAGAAGTTCCAGAAGCTGCCACGTTGAGCCTTGGATGGACGAGGTTTTTTATAACCAGATCACTCCAAAACCAGCGTGGGGATGGGGATAATGAGCAAATTCTAAGAGTTCATATATTAATGTCCTTCCAAATAAAAAAATGATTCTTTATTTTTACATTTCTAAAATCACAGAACTCCAGGCTGAATGTTCTCGCTCTCACACACACACACACACAATCACTAATTTCTAGAGTCATCATATGGGAAAAATCTCCCATATCTACCTCTTCAAAATCTGGCCGAGTTATGCTTCAGGGAAATTTTCCAGTTCCACCCCACACACCAACTTGGGATAAATAGAAACACTGAGGTCGTTTAGTTTTACCCACAGTTCCAAAGTGCTCTGACAGGATAACTGTCACCGGGTTAGAATACAGTTAGGAAGAATAAAGCTGCGTGTAGAGTTCTGGGTGTGGTTAAAATGTGAATGTGAGCGCCTCCTGACCTGCAGGCTTTGTTCTCTTCTTCTTTCATTTGTTTTGTTTTGTTGCTTCCTACCGGGATTGCAACAAAAACACACCTTCTATTCAGAATCCCACTGGAGAGTAGGTGGTTCAGATGAGTAGTCCTGTTACATATTAAGTTACTGGGCCTACAACTGAGAAATCTGAACTCTGGGGATACAACTCAAAGTAAATATTGTCTCAAGGTAAATAAACAAATTACTTGGCTGGCTGGTGAAATGCTTCCTTCTCAGATCATAACCCCAACATGGGACGTTTGCTTTCTCCATGTGCATCCCTAGACGAAAATCAGGTAACCTGACATCCTCAAAATGATTCAGATCATGCCTTCCTATTTCTCCCCTCAGCGCTGAGCAACAGCTCCAGAGCCTCGAAGTTGTCACGTATGTGGCTTGGGTTACTCGGCACTCAGGTAAACACTGCCACGTGCCTGACCTTGACTAACACGGACTACTTCTCTAAGCACAATGGTAACTAGAGGGAAGGCCCTCGCTCAGAGAAAGGATGCGGAAGGTGGAAGCCAGGACAAGGGGAGAGCTGAGGACAATCCTCCTAACAGATTCACACGATACCATGGGACGGGACTACTGAAGCCGGCAATCTTCTGAAAATATCACTATCACCGTCAAAACCCGTAAGCTTTCTTGTTCTAGTCAGGAAATCGGGGCCAAGGGCAACGTTCGCATACGTTGCTCACTGATACATTCTTCTTAACAGAAGTGAAGCTATTTTAGGAATATGAAAAAGCTTCTCAAGACATCTGTTCTCAGGGACAGACCACAGTAACAAATACTTCTCAGAGCTGGTCTGTTCTGAAGTCTATCCCAAGAACAAGGGCAGCCAACTGTCATGAGGTACCAGGACATCTTTCAGCAAAAATATTTTCACTTTCCTAAAGTTATATGCTGTTTTTCAAGTCCAAATATATTATAAATATCTGATCCTTTTCCGTCGGCAAAAAAGGGAACACTTTTTTTGTTTTTTAGACTCCAACGTTGGTAATATTTGTGTAGAATGAAGGTAGAATTTTAGTTTTTTTTTTTTATAACTCCAAACACAGATGAAATCAAACCGTCTGCAACTGTCCCAAAATTCACATCTTTCAAAGGTCCTTTCCTCCATTCACATGAATTCATCTGAATCATTGCCATCCTGTAGGAAACAAAAAAGTGAAACTATAAAAGCCTTCAAAATAAATAACTCAAATTTTTAAAAATGTACACAATGAGTCTTAAGTAACAAGCTTCCTGATGCGTAACTGCAAAGTTCAGAAAGTAAAAGTAAAAAGTAACATCATTAAATTCACTCACCGCTTCTCTATCTTAAAGTAGGAGTTGTTTAGACTAGCTGGATTTCTATGGTGTCATTAAATTATGGCCTGACTCACACAGTAACAAGTGACCAATGGTTTCCAAATGATGAAGTAAAGGCCCCCCTGCCCTAGGACAGGATGTAACAAGTGTGATGAGAACAAAATGTGATCACTCCAACAAATGCAGCAAAATATGAATCCAAACAGATCCTGCCTCAAATCCTTATGCCAAGGATGCTGCCAATAGGTAATTAGGCAAACACATTTTTGGCCTAGATTCCATTATTTTGAGCCTCAAGGTTGTCACAAGATGGATTTTTTTTTTTTTAAATAGGAAAAGTGATTAGGAAGCCATAGGCTAGGTAACAAGTTCAGTGGCCTGCCAAGTTGTTGATTAAAAAACCTTATACGATGGTATACAGTAGAAAGGCCCTGATTTTATTGTGTGGCTTATAGACACGTCCTAAAGACCAAGGACAAAAGTAGAGCCCCAGACTTCTTTTTGATCTATTGCATACCCTGAGAAAACGGCCCTGGATGCCAACATTCACTAAGTGTCTAAGTTTGGGACATCAGCTTGAAAACGTCATAACCTGAACAAAGCACTTGCTGTAGCTTCTCTTTCCCATGGCCTGATACCGGAGCTGAGAGAGAAGGGGAGGGCTCAGGCTTCCAGGTATGTATGCTCTGCTCCTCCTTAATAGCTCTTATAAAAGATGGGCCAGGAAACAGGAGATCCCAGCAGGAAACGCTGGTTTCTGAGGTCTGCTTTGATCGCCGGTTTCACTCAGTAGTTCTCTGTGCTTCTCGTCAAGGAGCACAACGAACCAAGGCCACGGCAAATATGCCTTAGATAATTGTATGAAGAGCAAGCTCATGTTGGTATTCTATGCACAAACCAGAACTGTGACTGCCTTAGAGTCCTATGCTGAAATCATAGCATCAGAGATGTTCAAAGAGTCACCATCTATCTTGGAAGGTCAGTATTAGAACCCAAACACCGAGGTGGAAAAATGCTCTAAGACAATTTGGATTGGTGACAATGAAAGTGTGTCACTCCCGATAAAGGCTGTGAGTCAGATTTGCAGAGTGTCTGCAGATCTGTATTTGGGGATTACAGCAACTTTTAAATAGACATCCAAGATCCAAGACTTTATTTGGATAATTTATTTTATTTTTTATTTTTTTTTAGAGAGAAAGAGAGTGTATGAGTGGGGCAGGGGGGGGGGAGGGGCAAAGGGAGAGGGGGAGAGAGAATCCCAAGCAGGCTCCAGCGTGGAGCCCAACGTGAGGTTTGATCCCACCACCCTGAGATCATGACCTGAGCTAAAATCAAGAGTCGGACGCTCGAACGACTGAACAACCCAGGTGCCCCTATTTGGCCAATTTTTATATTTAAGATTCCCTTTAAGAGTCAATATGTTTTTCAATATAGCAAAATAAGTTTCCTGTCATCCACCTATAAAGTGATAAACAAATAAAATTGTATTGAAAGGAACTGTTTACTGATAACAAATTTAAATGATTAGGAAGAAACTACAGATTGAAGACGATTAAATAGGAGAACAAGAGCTCAAAATTAAAACCAACTTCAGAGTGGAAGACTAATATTTTTCCTGATGAATTTATGTAAGCCACATGAAAACTCAAGTCCTATCATATATAAACACAGCTTTAACTGAAGATCAACTGATCATGCAGCCAAACTGGATCATAAAAGGTCTGTATCCCCTTAAGAGAAGAGGGTTACAAGGAGAATGAAAACCTATTCTTTGGCAGTATGGGGGGAAAGCTGTAAGAGTCCTTCCACTGCAAGACAGAGTAAAAACTCCCAGTGCAAAACTTCCCTGGAAACATGAATCTGATTGAAACCTGGAGCTCAGGGACAGGGGAGCAAACAACAGACAGAGAGGAACGGCAGAAGAGTTAGGAGTCCTTTGGTCTATAAATCTGACTTGTTAACCCTGGAGCTTTTTTTTTTTCTTAAGATTTTATTTATTTATTTGACAGAGAGAGACACAGTGAGAGAGGGACCACAAGCAGGGGGAGTGGGAGAGGGAGAAGCAGGCTTCCCGCCAAGCAGGAAGCCCGATGTGGGGCTCGATCCCAGGACACGAGCCAAAGGCAGATGCCTAACGACTGAGCCACCTAGGCGCCGGGCTAATCCTGGAGCTTTTAACACCTGTCGCTACTCAGATCATGTCTGTATATTTGTGTGTGTGTGTGTGTGTGTGTGTGTGTGTGTATTAATTCCAGAAGAATGTCCAAAACTTAATAATCCACAATGACGGAAATGAAAATGCCTAAGATTAACATAATCCAGGTGCCCAATTTCTGCTAGAAAGTAGCCTCTAAATCACAGAAGATTTTTAAGCAACAAAACCACAACAAAGACATTAGACTGAGGGTATGTTAAAGACTTCTGTTTAACTGTTAAGATGTTTTAAGAGTTCCAAGAAATCTAATAGTAGATTCCAGAAGAGATTAAATACATATCACCATTAATACTGAAACTCTGTGGGAAAAGAGCAGTTAAGGGCTGTATCGACAAGAAGTAACAATGACCATTTATATTCAGAGACTAAGGAACAACTTTCACATATATGCCCTTGTTTAAATTCTAGTGCAGACCCAGGAAGTAATTAAGTCTCCCTTCCACTGCTGATGAATACTCCTTCAGAGAGGTTAAATAACTTTATTAGGCTTATCCATGTAGTAAATGATAGCTTAGGGCTCTAACCTTCAAATTCAAGGTGTATTTATTACATAATGCTACTCTTGAATTTTTCAGGAATAAATTACAAAGCTACATCTCTGACTCACAAAGGAGCCTCATAAATTTAGTTCTTCCCAGAGACAGAAATAAGAATATTGTCCTTATTCATTTTTAGAAGGACATCGAGATATGAACAAGGTGTAAAATCCTACTAACAACCCCCACTGATGAACTAAATATGGGGTTTGACTAGATGACCTTTACGGGATCTTAAATTCTGTTAATTATTTCTAAGCATCTAGAGCAGTAGTGTGTAATATTATTTTCTGTGATGGTGGCAATGTTCTATTTCCGCGCTGTCCAATATGGTGACCACTAGCCACATGTGGCTAGTATGACTGAGAAGGGTCTTTAAAGTAAATTAAATTTTAATTAAATTTAAATGGTCACATGTAATTAGTGCCTAGTATCCTCAACAACAAGATCTAAAGCATACATAGTTGCCCCCTGAACAACACGGGTCTGAACCACACGGGTCTACTTCTACAGACCCTTTTTCAACAAATATAGTTTGGGACTGTAAAAGTATTTTCTTCTCCCTATGACTTTATGGTCTTTTCTCTAACTTACTTTATCGTGTGAACATGGTACATAATACATATGATGTATAAAATATGTGTCAATCGACTGTTTATATTATGGGTAAGGCTTCTGGTCAACAGTAGGCTACCAGCAGTTAAGTGCTGGGGGAGTCAAAAGTTATATGGAGATTTTTCAACTGTGTAGGGGGTTTGGCACCCCCAACCCCCTTACTGTTCAAGGGTCAACTGTATTTGTAAACTGTACTATAAAACGTGCAACATAGCAAATATATCCACCCAGTTTCGATTTCTGCAGCCTGTTACATAACAGCTAAATTGAGCTATCTAGATCCAGCCACTTCAAAATAAATTTTGGGAAGAGAGTATTCATGGACAGTAAGTCCCTGACGTAGTTCCAATAAAATAATTAGATGCTGATACTAAGAAAATTCTTTCAGTACTATAATCTGATCTCCATTTCTCTTTGAGGTCCTAAGGAACATGAAATCAACCAATGTTGTCACTCAGACTGCAGGTAAGATCTCAGGGCTAATACTTTCATTTTGTTTTTTAATTGAAGGTGAGAATTTTGTTTTCAGTTGTAATATAGGCTCTACAGTAACACTAATGTAGAATTTTAATGAGGGCCCTTCTGCATGCCACAACTAGGGAAGGGGAAATAAGGAGCAGGAAAGTTCTGTTAACAGACCTGCACGTCATAACAGAGCCCGATGATCTCTTTCCGTGAGGTGACCGGCTTAAAAACACATTGCCCCTCTTTCCCTCTCGCCCCAGGGAAAGGGGGCAATGCCCAACAGAATGCACTTGAGCATATGATGGTTGCCAAATCATGTCAAGCCATCAGCAACATGTGAATCAGTACTGGCTAGTCACTCGATTATTAAAAACTCTTGATTATTTTAAGGTACAACATTAAAACAAATAACTTGAACATACCTGATTTGAAGACATATTCTCAACTTTCATTAGTGATGAATAGCTCCTAAAAGAAAACAACACATTTAAAATAAGGTTATCCAGGGGCGCCTGGTTGGCTCAGTCAGTTAAGTGTCCAACTCTTGATTTTGGGTCAGGTCATGATCTCAGGGTGGTGAGATCGAGCCCCACGGCAGGCTCCGCATTGGATGTGGAGCCTGCTTAAGTCCCCCCTTCTCTAAAAATAAACAAAACAAAACAAAATAAGGCTATCCAGCCAGCAAGTATTTCATGAACATTTACCATGTATCCAGCACTGCTGAGGGTCTTTCGAAGGAAAGTATGATCCCTGCCCTCAAGGAGATTGCAACAAATATCTTTGAACAGTGAATAAGATGTGCACAGCACTTTACAGCTTACAAAGTGCTTGCTCATACTCATTTCATGTCACTTCCACACTAACTGTGAGGTAAGTGGCGTTTTCAGATGAGGAAACCCATCTATGGCCAAGAGCAGACAGGACTCCCTGCTGGGGACGGACTGCCCAGACTGCAGAGGCTATAGGAACTCACGAGGAGATGCACCAGCACAGCGGCAGATCCGGAGAATGGTAGGAACAAAGGCAAAGAGATGGTATTTATAATGACATCTCAAGTCAATTCAAGTGAAGTCCGAAGACAAAGTAGCGGGAAATTAGGCTGGACGTGTGGGGCCGGATTATGTTGTCCTAACTGCGTGAGCTAACACAACATGATCGGCAAGAAGCCACAACATAAGATGGGAGCAGAGGAGAGACATATGAGATTCAACAAGCATTTATTAAATATCCATGAGGTGTAAAGCCCTGTGCTAAGCCTGGGTGGAGGATGAGATGGGAAGAAAACAGAACATGATGAACAAGACAAAGCCTAGCCCCAAAGAGCTTACCAGGAGAGGAGATACGACCTATTCAGCCATAAGTCTGCAAAAAGTTCAATTAAAAATACGCAAAGAGACAAAGGAAAGTGAGACCATAGAACACCAGTGTTTAATCTGTAGCAGACAGAAGAGAGGGAGAAGGCAAATTAAGGCAAGGAGATGAGTTAAGAGTAACAGTATTTACATTTACCATTTACCAAGTATCCTTTTTTTGCTAGGACCTGTGTTCTATGCTTCATAGATTACTGCCAATCCCCCCAACCACTTTATAAGGCAAGGGAGAGTCTCATGCCTACTCAAGACACAGGAGGCAGAGCGGGGGACGTTAAGGAAGTCGTGCAAGCTCTCCCAGCTAACTAGTGGAGGAGCGAGCCTCTGAATCCGCGTCGGACTCCTGAGCTCACACTCCTGCCATCATGCTCCATCCAGTCTGTTGCAATGTTCCTCTACTGAGGGCATGAATCCAGGCTGTTAACAGCTGTCCTGGTAAGACGGCATAAATCTGAGAGGAATCAACGATGACATCAAGGTTTCTACCTTGGGTGATTTGAAGAAAATAATGCTACAGTTGAGAGAAATGGGCAAATGCTGCAAGGAAGGTGTGCTCGGTGTGGGGCAGGTTGCATGTGAAGGAATGGTGAGACATCCAAGTAGAGAATACGAACTGTAGAAACGGAAAACTGAGAACGAGAGGGAAGGAGAACAGCCCCAGTGTGAGACAACCATCTGGGAGACGTTTGGAGAGAAAGATTAGGCGAAGCTTGTCGGAGGAAGTGGTATCTCTAAGAAATAGCCAGGTGAGCTGGAGAAGCTGCACGAGCAGAAAGAGAGAGGCATGCTGAGCACACAGTGGTTACAACAGGGAATCTCAATCCTGGCTGCATTTCAAAATCGCCTAATGAAGATGGGCATCCCCGAGCTGCGTTCAAGAACCACTGGGTCTGAGAGCCCACTCCGATGAAAGCCACATACAGAGTTACCCTTTGTTAGGCCATGCCTGTCCTCTGAGCTCTGTCCCATTCACCCATCTGCCTATCTGACATTTTTTTGGATACCTCGAGGTATTGTCAGATTCATAGGTCCCTTCGCAACTCATGGTCCCACGCCCGTTTGGTTCTTTCCCAGCATCCCCTGGGCCCAGAGAACAGCACCGCCATCCATTTCATCGCACACACCAGAAACCTAGGAGTCACTCTTTTCCCCTGCCCGTCCCCTCCATTCGATCTAGCTTCAAATCTTGTGATTTTACCTCCCTGGTCCACTTCTCTCTACCCCTCCACAACACGCCCATATTCCAAGCTACTATCACCTGTCTTGTGGACAACTAATAGTTTTCTAACTGGCCTGGCCACCCCCCACCAGGTTCCCCTTCCACTCAGGTCAGCAAAGTGAGCTTTCCGAAGCACAAACCTGATCATGCAACCCCCTGCTTAAAAGTCTTTGATGATCTCACAAAAGTCAGATGAAGGATGAAGACAAACATGACACCAACAGGCCCCGTGTGCCCGGGCACTTTGATCCATGCATTCGCTCGCTCCTGGGTTCCATACATTTGGGCCCACCTTTCTAGTCCTGGGCTCTGCCTTGCTGCCTCTCGCACAGAGTCTTTCTTTGCACACCCAGTTCCCTCTGCTTGGAGCCCTCTTGCCACCCATCCCGCTTTTAACCAGCAAACACAGTCCTGATCTTAGCTCGGACATCACTGTATCAGAGAAGCCAATCTCCGTTATATACATCCGTAAATATATTAACCAATCACTCACTGCATATGCAAAGCACCGGATCACACATAAAGGGATGCAAAGATGCATATAAGTGCCTCTTTGAAGGAGTGTGCCATTAAAACGGAGAGCTAGAGCACAAAGAGCATTAGTTATAGAAGGCAGCAGTGTTCGTGCGTGAGGGAGAAACCAAAGAAGATCCAATTAAAGCAGTCATTTCTACACTGGACTACATCCTCTTTTTAATCATTGGTCTTTTACCTTTTCTACATGTTGCCACTAAACTCCTCCTACGGGTCTACTTCTTCCTAACATCCTAGGACACCTATGATGGCTCCTTATCACTTACAACCTGAAACTCTGTACTATGCAAAACCTTTTAAAATCACTCTCCGATGTGCCTAATCTTTTATTCTTTTATTTGCCTATATATGACCTTGACTCTGGCCTTGCCAACCCATTCCTTTCTTGCCTTACAGGCAGTACGGTCCTGTGGACCTCAGGACTCCAGACTTGCGTTAGAATTTCTGCTTTGCCACTTATCAGCTATAACTTTCCACACATTAACCATCTTTTATTTTTTAAAGATTTTATTTTATTATTATTATTTTTAAAGATTTTATTTATTTGACAGAGAGAGACACAGCGAGAGAGGGAACACAAGCAGGGGGAGGGGGAGAGGGAGAAGCAGGCTCCCTGCCGAGCGGGGAGCCCGATGCAGTGCTCGATCCCAGGACCCTGGGATCATGACCTAAGCTGAAGGCAGATGCTTAACGACTGAGCCACCCAGGCGCCCCCCCCCACATTAACCATCTTGCTAAAGTCATCTTTGTCCCCAAATCCAGCTCAGGTTACTTGTCCAAACTGATGATCCATTCACCTGTGAGTTGCCATTTTACCTGGGCCTGGTACTTGACTGACTTCAATCACCCAAGCCTTGGGTTCATATTTCGACCTCCCAGACTCCCAATTTTTAAATATCTCTATCTCAGGTAGCCACAGTCCCTACCTTTTTCTTTTCTGATCTGTTACTCACTTATCCTCTATTAACTACCTTTTTGCTTTTTCTATTGTTTCTTCTGGTTTCAATATCCACATGGTGGAGCTTGATTTTGATGTTGATGTTTGTTACAATACCACAAAGCCCAAATAAGTGAATACAAGACGAAACAGAGCAGGTGAGCTTTCATTTGGATGCAACCACACATTCCACTACAGAGATGAAACGACGCAGCCAGGACACACTGAAGAGAGCCAGGGATGCTCTTCCCTAGCACCTGCTAATAAATGATGGTGTCCACTGGGAGACTCACAGGTAACCTGTCTAAAGGATTTCTCCAAATGCCTGCTCTCTCAAACCAAATGTAGACTGAGTAGAAGCTGTTCTGCTTCTCTCACTCTCAAGGTCACATCTAAGACACCAACTACTCTAAAAACCTGTGTTGAATCTTTGCTATTACCTCATCTTAATGTATGGCTTGCAGTGTAGCAGTCACAGAAAGGAAGGAGGCTTCTTCCCTACACCCCAAACCCCATGAACTCCTAGGCTCATAGGGCATGTGTCTAAGGAACTAACGAGTAAGATGGGTAAGTGAGAATATGCAAAGTCTAAGGAAGGGGAAAATTTTCACAATGGTTTAGATGAAAATGGTGAACAGATGGTGTTAATATACTGCCCTCTCAACAACCCCAAATATTTCTAAAACCTGTCTAAGAGGATGTTCCTTATGTAGACCTATTTACATTATCAGATCGTTACAGTTTCTGCATGCTGAGGAGTAAATGAGTAAAGGCTCATCGGCAAGAACAAGATGGAGTTCTGTCTCCAGGGGTTATCATTCCTCGCCTCGGAGCAGGAAGTCGTGCCTTCCACAGGGCGGGCTGGGCTTTGTTCACTGCTGAGCTGAGGGCCGAGAGAGGATCCTGACTAGAGCTCGGAGAACTTGGAGCTGTATAATGGCAATTCCATCCATTTCTTCTCCCAGTAGACATTAGAAATGAGAGGCTTACTGCCATTCTTGTTCAACAAGTTGAGAAGAGAAAGGGGACAAGAATCTAAATAATGGTTTTAGAATTGGAGGGAAGTTGGATATCTCCGGATATGAGGCTGTTGAGTATTTCTTTGCTGAAATCATCTGGAGGCATTGGGGATCACTTCCAGGATAAGAATATCTCTTGGTTTCTCTGCAGAATCCCCTTCAGACTCAAAAGTCGGTTTCTTAGGCAGTCAAAGCAACTAAAGTGGACATCCCCTACCAGATGGTCCAAATAAAAGAACCAGCTGCTGGTGAAAGCTAATGAAATTGTCATTGTCAGAAAGCCAAGTGAAAGACTTGAGAATGAGAAGATTCTGTAGGCCCAGCATTTGATCTCTTGGGTGGAAGAGTCAAAGACAGAAACTAAGGTGATGTATAAAGCACTACCAAGGTATAAAAACAGATTTTAAAACAGGTCAGAAGCTTAGAGCTTGTGGCTGGAACTTCACAGAAGCTGCAGGACCCGGCACGCAAACAGGCAGGTCCCTGGTCTGTCGCTGCGTGGCTTCCCCGCGCTGCAGCCTTGCCTCTCACCCTCCCAGCTTCAGCAGCTTGGGAAAGCAAATCATTGCTGTGGCACAGGTTTCACAGAAATGAACGCATCAGCTGTTTCTGGTTTTCTGAGAGCCACGATCATTTATTAAAAAGAAAGCATCAAGGACAAACTGTGTAGAAAAACATGAACTAGAAAAGTGATTTTTCCCATTTATTCCACTTACATTTTCCTTTTGATATATATGGGCCAGAGTGATATAGGATAAAAATTTGTGTCTGAGAAAACAAATGGAAAAATTACAAGTGACGAGGGACAGCTTAGAAAATGGGACTAATTTAGATAAATTTGCTTTTGAGGCAAAAATTTCATTCAATACAAATAAGATTTTCCCCCCCCCAACTTATTTAAGTATTTCACGTGTTGTTGATACTATAAAAGAAAATCTGGGCAATATGCACATGGTGTTTTAGTTTAAACTAATAAAATCAAATATACAAAATCCCCTAAATTTTACTAGTACACAGCTTGATTTGAAGCAAAAATGAAATGCATTTTAAAATGAATTCCCGTATCTATAAATTACTTGATTCATATGGAATAAATTTTACTTTAACGCTGAATAGACTGAACAGAGGCAGAAAAGAGTGGTAATAGCGTGTTGCGAGCTTGAGAATCAGACAGACTAGCTCTGTGACTTTCGGCAAGTTACTTAACTGCTTGTCAGGCTCAGTTTCCTCTTCTAGAAAATGCAGGTAATAACAGTATTCGCCTCATATTGGCTATTGTTAGGATTAAATGAAATAATGGAGCTAAATATAGTACAGGGTTTGGCAGATGACAAGTGCCCAAAAACGTTAGCTATTCTTTCTTGTTAAGTTTTTAAGTAAATTAAGTGACATTATATTCCTAACATATTATGTTTCTGAACAAAATTGTTAGATCTGTAAAGGGCACAAGAAGGTATGTTTTCAAGCTTTTCCCCACTCTACACAAAAACCAAAAATGAATAAACTACTCTCAATCCTACATTGCTCAAAATTCCACACATTTTACTGCGCTGATTGAGCTGATAATTTTTCCTTCACTCACAACACAAAGCAGACTCACACTAGCTCAAACCAAATCTGGGCATTCGTTTGTCTTGCGTCAGCAGATTATAACTCAGGATAACACTTCCGGAGTTCTCCATCTGAATATATTTTAAATGAAGCCACTTATCCCGTTTCAGCAGAACCCCCAAAGGAGCACATGCATGCAGATAACTAAGAAATACCAGTACTTGATCATTATACCTACGTTCTGACCCAACAACCTTTCTAATCATCCAGTGTATTCCAAGGAAACCGAGTCAGGACATGGCAAGACAGCTCATTTTGATCCTATGGCACTCCCAAAGGCACAGCAATACCTTTTCTTCCCCCCATTTCTTTTTGGTATACTTAACACAAATGATATCTACGGAGAACTGTGGGAAAATCTAGAAATCCTGTGAGTAGAAGTTGCAGGATTAAATTCCCTCTTTGACAAAGAAAACCCAGGAGTCTCTTTAGGTATAAATATACATCTACTACAGATTCTGTGTGGTGGGCAGACTAATGATCCCATAGATATCCACATCCCAATCCCCAGAACCTGCAAATATGTCACTTCATCTGGCACAAGAGGCTTTGCAGATGTGGTTGGGTTAAGGATCTTAGATGGAGAGGTTATGGATTGTCTGGGTGCGCCCAAAGTCACGGCACTGGTCCTCAACAGTAGAGAAGGCTGTGGTCAGAGATGGGGCTGTGACTCTGGAGGGATGGTCTCAGAGGTGCCATGTGGCCAGCTCTGAAGATGGAGGAAGGGGCCACAAGCCAAGGAATGTGGGTGGCCTCTAGGAGCTGGAAAAGGAAACAGATTCTCCCCTAGAGCTCCAGAAAGGAACACAGCCTGGCTGACACCTTGATATTAGCCCAGAGAACCACGCTGGACTTCTAACATAGGAATGGATGGAACTGTAAGATAAGAAATCTATGTTGTTTGAAGCCACTAAATTTGTGATAATTTGTTATAGGAGCCACAGAAAACTAATACAGTCTGGATTCTCATACATCAGAAATTCAGGACTCTAGTTGTATTTTAACTACTATTTATCATTTGACTTACTTATTTTTGTTTATTTTTTAAAGATTTTATATCTTATTTTATTAAGTAGGCTTCACACGCAACATGGGGATTGAACTCACAACCCCAAGATCAAGAGTCACATGCTCCACCGACTGAGCCAGCTAGGCACCCCCTACTATTTATCATTTTAAAATGTAGTGCTGTGGGGTAGGCCTCATTACATTAATCACTTCTAACTTATGAAAAAAAATTTTTATTTTAAAAAGCAGATTTTAAGAATTACTAGCATTGGGGCACCTGGCTGGCTCAGTTGGTTAAGTGTTTGCCTTCGGCACACGTCATAGATCCCAGGGCCCAGTGATTGAGCCCTACGTCAGGTTTCCTGCTCAGCTGGGGGTCTGCTTCTCCCTCTCCCCTCTGGCTCTCAACTCCCCCTACCCCCACCCCTGCTCGTGCCCTCTCTCTCGCAAATAAACAAATAAAATTAAAAAAAAAAATTACTAGCATAGGGCTTCAGAGCTAAGACCACCTTATTCAAGTACCACAGCAAGTCAATGTTAAATCCTTAATATAACATCTTGTCTTTTCCTGAAGATGTTTACAAACCGAACTCTAAAGATGGTTTATCTAAGAATAAAATTAGCTCTTTTATTTCACACATACTCATATCCCGTCCCTATAAAAGGGCGTCATTTGACCAACGCATGAGCATAACTGCCTTTTCCTAGACCGTCTCAGGCCCTGAGTCTGTTCTCTGTCCTGCCCTCCACCAGTATATCCTTCCTACGGGCTGGTCCCTGATGAAAATCAGCAGCAAGGAATCTCCAAGGTCAACACCAATGCCACAGCTCTGACATACCTAAGTTCATCCATTTCCCGCTTCTTCTTCATCTCTTCCTTCTCTCTCCTTTTCATTTCCTGAATTTGGGCTTTTTTCTCATTCCTCTCTTCTCGGTCTCTGCATTCCTTCTCTGCCGCGAGGTCTGGGAACCGCTCCATTTTGGTCTTTTCTAATCGGTTCAGGATCTCATTCACTTTCTTCTCCACGGTCACAATTTTCACCTTTGAGGGAGATGGGAGGGAACATTATTGAATCTTTATTGTAGGTTTTCCCCCCCAGAACAGAGACAACACTTTCTAGGGGCCAAACAACCCAGCTGAGAAGGGATTTAGAAGGCATACATCATGCTGAGCCTTCAACAATGAAGGCAGGAGCCGGAAAAGCCCGGGGCTCCACTCCGCCTCCTCTGGCAGTGCACAACACTTACATCCTTCTGCCTGTGAAAGCCTATCTGTCCCACATCCATGTCGGCTGTTTTCTTCAGGTTAGACCACGGTGTATATACCACATTAACGTTGTTCATCTTGCAGCCTGCCAAGAGAGACTGTCTTCAACATGAGGGCCGGAGGATACTGCGTTCCCTCACCCACTGGCCAATTACCAAAATCCAACAAAGGGAAAGGCTTAGCGCAGACAGCCATTGAGGGATTCAAACCACCAAATACTTTTTTTTTTTGAACCCACCCACGAAAGGCAAATGGTAAAGGTGACCAACACAATTCAAGCAATAGTGTTATGAAGGAAAGCAGGGGTCTGTGGATTAGCTTCAGGGACTTCTGAGACTCCCAAATACTGAAAACAAAATTTATGATACACATTTTTAAAAAAGAGAAATGGACCAAACAGGTTTCCCTCAGATTCCCAATGGAGTCCTTGATTCAGTAAAGGCTAAACATCAAGATAAAGCAAAAAGCCATGGTCTGGGATTCAAGAGACCAGCACGCGACCCTGGCACCAACACAAACCAGCTGTGTCACTTAGGGAACGGGCCCAGGGCTCCCGGAATCTCATCTGAAACAGGAAGAGATTGGACTAGAATTTTTTGTTTGTTTGCTTCTTTTCACAGTGGTAGTACCTCTTTTACCAAAGAAAACATATCAAAGTAATAAAAGCAGAGATGCTCTGGATGAAAGGGGTGACGGGTACCCCATACCCCATTCATTCTTCCTACCACCTCCACCTCACATTTCCCCTCTGCCCCAGACCGCTTGTCAGGCAGCTTGAAGAATCCCAGTTTAATCACTGGCCCAACACTCTTTACGGCCCTTTTCAGTATATTACATAGTTTATTAAATCACCACATACAGGGGCGCCTGGGTGGCTCAGCTGGTTGAGCGACTTCCTTCGGCTCAGGTCATGATCCTGGAATCCCAGGATCGAGTCCCACATCGGGCTCCCCGCTCAGCGGGGAGCCTGCTTCTCCCTCTGACCCTTCCCCTCTCTTGCTCTCTCTCTCTCTCTCTCATTCTCTCTCTCTCAAATAAATAAATAAAATCTTTAAAAAAAATAAATAAAAAAATAAATCACCACATACATTGGAGAAAACTGGTGAATAACTGCTTACTTAAGTGATCAAAATTAACATCATCAAAAATGGAGCAAAATGGCACCATGTGACTCTTGATTGTAATGCACAAGATTTCACTTATATGTTATTCCTGACTGAAAATGCATGTGATCCTACTCAAGTGGAAGCATCAGACCAACCCAAATCACAGGATATCCTACAACTGGTCTCCATTCAAAGTGTCATTGTCTTGAAAGACAAAGAAGTATCTTTAGATTAAAAAAGATTAGAGACATGATGAGTAACTATAACATATGATCTTGGATCAGAAAAAGAAATGCTAGGGAGCCTGGGTGGCTCAGTCAGTTAAGCTTCTGCCTTTAGCTCAGGTCATGATCCCGGGGTCCTGGGATCAAGTCCTACACTGGGCTCCCCATGCTCTGCAGGGAGCCTGCTTTTCCTTCTGCCTGCAGCTCCCCTTGCTTGTGCATTCTCTCTCTCTTTCTCAAATAAATAAATAAAATCTCTAAAAAAGAGAGAGAAAAAGAAATGCTATAAAGGGGTAGTAGTGGGACAACTGGAAAAACTTACATATGGACTGTATATCAAATGACAGTATTCTAGCCATGTGAAACTTCCTGAATCTGGTCACAGTAATGCAGTTACTTAGACAATGTCCTTGTTCTTAGGACATGCTAAAGAGTTATGAAGTCTATAATTTTCCTTCAAATGATTCAGCTAAAAAAATGAATAATTAGAACATTAAAGAGAGAAAGCAAATACATATGGAAAAATTACTGAATCTAAGTGAAGGGCATACAGGAGTTGTATTTTTCTTGCAACATTGCTGTAGGTTTGAAGTTTTGTTTTTTTTTTCAAAATCAAGATTTTAAAAAAAATCTCCATGTGTGTGGTGCTACGGGAGATCCAAACATGGATCAGAGAATGGGTCTTGTCTTCCAAGACTAAAGGAAAGCAGGTAAGTACATAAATAACCTCAATTAAAAGCAGACCTCTTCAGGACGCCCAGGTGGCTCAGTTGGTTAAACGTCTGCCTTCGGCTCAGGTCATGATCTCAGGGTCCTGGGATTGAGCCCTGCATCAGACTTCTTGCTCAGCAGGGAGTATGCTTCTTTCTCTCTGCCCTCCCCGCTCCCCCGCCCAGCTCTCGCTCTCTCTCAAATAAATAAATATAATCTTTAGGAAAAAAAAAAAGGAAGAAAAGCAGAACTCATCAAATGCTATTGGAAAGGTACAGGTAAAGTACTAATGCTGCTCTGAGAGGGCAGTGGTCACCCACGCTGGAAGAAGGGAAAGGCTCCATCAGAGAGGTTAATACAGTTTAGTGGTTAAGACAGAAGACTTTCAGATCAGACTGACTTCAAATGCACCCACCACCACACTTCAGAGCTCTGAGACCTTGGGCAGGTTCCTTAACTCCCTTAAGCTCAGCTCCCTCATCTCTAGAATGAAAATAATAACGCATATCTCAGTAGGGTTGATAAGTGAAATAATCTGTGAAGTTTTAGCATGTAGTGCCAGGCATGCAATTAACGTTTAAGGTTAGCTATTACTACCATTACTACAACTACTGGGTGGACCCTGAACCTTAGCTTGCATCTAGACACAGGACGACTGACAAGGCAGACAAAACTGAGGACAGAGGAGACAACATAAGCAGAAATATACGGTAGGAAAACAGCCAAAACATGCTTTGGCTGGAGGGTGAAATATGTGAAGGGAAAAAAGCCTGTAGTCAGAGCAGAGATGCTTAACTTCTAGCTTAAGAAGTCTGGACTTATTTGTATAATTAAGATGAGGTGTGTCATAGAAAGTATCTAAGACTTTAGAAGGCTTAATCTGGCAAAAGATTCTATGAATAAACTGACTGACCAGATTCTACGATGACAAACAAGTTTAACCCAATTTCCTTGGTTCTGAGAGCCAAAGGCAGTCTAGGAGGGGGGGAAAATATTTTAACTGCACAGCAACGCAAATGGAGCATCCTCAGCATCCTCTGCTGTCAACTCATGAGTGAGGCTCCTGGGCTTAGCTCTTATTCTGCTAATTGAGCTCTCACTGTGGAAGGATGAAGTGGAGAACAGAGGAGGGCAGTGTCATGACTCTTCTGCCTTTTCTGTTTTCTCTAGAACTAGTAAACTATAAAGAGATTAAGAATAAAGAGGCCAGGCCCAGAATAAAGAGTCCAAAGACCCTTTAATAAAGTCACATCTGCTAGCCAGGGGCATGGAAAGGGGACAAGATCATGTGAAAGAGGTTGCAACACACAAGAGGATAATGATTGTTTTAATTTTATTTTTACTTTAATAACTGAAGCTCGTGACTGGAAACCTTAAAAACTCTGTTCTGCTCATAAAAATGGAATGTCCTAAGACTAACTGCAATTTAATGATTTATGGCGTTGAAAACCAGTGGCTCTGCAAGACCAGACTTCTTTCTTTGGCTAGGTATATGACTCGGTAAAGCTGCCCAACTTAGTCTAAGTGATGGGAAGTATACTGGCCAGCTCTTACCCTGTAATCTCCAACCCTGGTACTTACTATCAGCTAAGTGTCTGCCCTCTATCCAAACCATATTTCTTTCCGACCCTCTGGATAATCTCTCAACCTCACATCAAACCAAACTTACCTCCGCTCTATCTAGCTCTGTGTCCTACACCCCAAAATCCAACCTACTAGCTCAACCATTATTAGCAGAACACCATCTCCTGGCTCCGCTTTTTAACTCCCACTTCCTCCCCCAAAACTGTCCTTCTTGACCTGTACCGACTACTGACCAATTAAATCTACTACTGACAGGGGCGCCTGGGTAGCTCAGTTGTTTAAACGACTGCCTTCGGCTTAGGTCGTGATTCCAGGGTCATGGGATCAAGCCCCACATTGGGCTCCTTGCTCAGTGGGAAGCCTGCTTCTCCCTCTCCCTCTGCTGCTCCCCCTGCTTGTGTTCTCCTGCTCTGTCTCTGTCAAATAAATAAAATTCTTAAAAAAAAAAAAAAAATCTACTACTGACAGAACTAAACAAGCACCAAACCCAGAATTACAGGCCTCCCCTAAAACAGGGCAATTGTTCTCAACCAACCCTCTGTACATATTACAATCTCCCGGAGAACACTGGAAAAATACAGATACTCATGGATCACCCCAGACCAACTAAATGAGATTCTCTGGGAAATAAAAAGATCAAGAGACTCGATACCTTCACAATATACAGGGAGAATAAAGTATGAAAGAGGAGAAGGAGAGAAAGAAAAAGTAAGAAACAGGGATACAGAGACTTGAGTTCTAGAATTTAAGGACAAATGATGGAAAGAAAGACATCACACAGCATTAAAAATAAAGCCATGACATACATCTCTTGCTTAGCTATTAACCTAACCTCATTTCCAAAAGCCCTCCACCTTTTTTAAAGATTTCTTTGAGAGAGAGAGCGCATGCACACGCATTGGGGGAAGGGCAGAGGGAGAGAATATCCAAGCAGACTCCCACTGTGTGGAGCCCCACGAGGGGCTCGATCTCACGAGCCATGAGATCAGGGCCTGAACCGAAAGCAAGAATCAGATGCTTAACTGACTAAGCCACCCAGGCACCCCCAAAAGTCTTTCTACGAATAACATCAAGGGTAGGCAGGTTTAGATAAGCTTCTAGTCAAGGTAAGGGGAACACGGTAGAAAGAGCTGAGAAAGGACCACGAACATGAGAGGGGTCCAGAGATTAGCTTTCAGTTCTCGGATAGGTAGCAGAAGAAAACAGGGGAAAGGTATATTACATATTATTCATTTGACTCAAGCCCAAGTCACTGACATGTTCTCTAAAATGTATTCAATTTCAGATACAGATTTTGGCGTTAATTCTGAAAATCTAAGAGAACTGACCTTGAATGCTATTGGCCTTCACAAGATGGGCACAGTCCATCAGGACTTCCTTTGGTATGTCTTCTATCTTCTCTCCCTGGAACATAAAAATAAAAGAGATGGTCCACTACCTTGTCACTGATCAATACTGGAGCACTTATAGGGCTTTACTGCCTTACTAGGCACAACTTTATTAAAAGCAGAGGCTCTTCACTGTATTTCAGAACACTGAAAAATGAAGTCTATTATGGGAATGTTTGAGAGAAGGCCGTACAAGTAATATGGAAAATATTAATACTTAATAAGTGAGTGAAAAGGGTATAAAAGAAAACCACCGAAGTACTAACTGTAATTATGTCTCAGGAACTTTCTCCTCTTTCTTGTCACTTTCTTCTCTTCATTCTTACTTCTGGAAACCTTGTGGGGAAATGGTGCCTATTTCTGATAATTGGAAGTCTTCTTTGCTGAGGTCCCTATGACCTTCCTTTCAAAGAGATATCTTATGGTCTTGAGTCTCAAACATCATTTGAGGTAGGTCATCCATCAGCCTTAATTAGGAACCCCGCTCTTGGTGTGTTCGATATAACCACCCACCCTAAGGGAAAAATAATATTGACTCATTTTCTGTACAGATACTGTAACAAAGTCAAAGCTGAAAAAGCAAAGCCATTCCAAAAGAACAAAAATATTTCAAAGGCAGAGCAAGTGGGAATCACCTCAGTACTGGCTCCAACTAGGCATGGGATTAAAGCAGCACTTCCGTACGGGAATGAAATGTGCGACCTACCTAAATAACTGGAGATAAATTAAGTTTATTCCATTACGTTTCAGAACTTTTTTTGTTTCTTTTTAAAATGAGGATGTCTCAAATACATAACATTGACCAAAAAAATACGTGATTTAAGTTTGCCACTACTTTAATGACATAGCTCATAATGTGCAATTCCCTGACCACTTTAAGAAAGGATTCTGAATTTAACATCTTGATAACACAATGTCATTACTAAGAATATCAACCATTACACTAGGCCATAATATGGTGATAGAGGTTCAAAAATACACAGAGGCAGACTGACCCTATTCTAAATAAATCAACATGAGTAATTATAGAACAAAACAGCTACCACAGCTCAGATTAAGAAGTGAATATTATAATCATAATGAAATAGCATCTTATACTTACTTAAAAATTGTCAAAAGGTTGCTATTATAGAACAAAACAGCTACCACTTTCAAGTACCCACCATGTGCCAGGCACTAAGTAAACAGCCATATGAAATAGATAGTATTATCTTCACTTTAGCAACGATGAAAATGAAGCTTAGCAGGGTTAAGTAACTGGGCCAGGATCCCCTAAATCTAGTAAGTGACAGAGCTGAGAGATGAACCCAGGCCCAAGGGTTGTAGCAACTGACCCCAGAGTACAGTGCCTTTGGAATTCTTATGGAAATGTAGTTTCTTGGTCCTGGATATTAGCCAACATCCTCATATCCCTTCTTACTACCTGTGTCTGTCAGTATTCCTGAAGCAATCTCATCTTCCTGTTGGCTACTTCTAATATAATACGAGCGGACTTAAAAAAAAAAAAAAAAAAAAACAATCCTTCAGCTTAGCGTTATGCATAAAGTCAGAGTGAACTCTGACTGGAGAGTCTGAGGTGCTCTCAATATGTAAATGTCAGAATTGTGACTGTGGGCTTTGTGCCATCTCTGTCAATGAGGTAAGAGACCTCTAGATAGCTGAGGGTTTTCTATGGGTTTTCAAAAATCAAAGAAGCCTAGGAAAGAACACTGCTGAATATCTCTGATCTTCAAGGTCTGGGTTGAATTCAACTGAATTCAACAACCAAAAGTTAACACATACGATGCCTAACATGTGCCAGGCATTATTCTAACTGCTTCAGTCATACTAGCTCATTTAATCGTCACAATGGCCCAAGAAGACAGGTACTGTTAGCTCCCTTTTACAGATGAGGAAATGGGCACAGCTAGGTGACTTGCTCAAAGTCACACAGCTAGTACGCAGGAGAGCCAGGGCTCCCCTCCAGCAGTCTGGGTCCCCAACCACTGGTTTTACTCCATCTCCAACACTCACTTGGTACCTACTGAGTACAAAAGGCTACGCCACTTACTGCAGATCAACCAGGTCAACGTTCCCTAAACAGCACATATTTTTATTGAGCACATGATGTTGCTTCCAAAAGAAAATGAAATTAAACTTCTTTTCAAACAAGGAGTAACTGGTAGTAAGTGAACTTGGGACTACCACTATTATTTCCATTTTCTGACACAGCAGAGTCTAAAGGAAAAGAAAAACTTAATCTGAACCGAAAGGAAACTTGGTAACACCATACTCTATTTTCTCCAAACTTAAAAGAGTTCCAAAATGGCAAGAAGTTGCCAAGGAGAATTCAGACTGTTGTTCCAGCAGAGTTCACAATCTTCCTCTTTTTGACATAGCTCATGATGTGCTTTACAATACAGTTCTCAAAAACATAAACAGTATAAATAAAGATGGGGCACAGTGCATAACCTTGCTAATAGATTAAGAAGTGAATATTATAATCATAATGAAATAGCATCTTAGACTTACTTAAAAATTGTCAAAAGGTTGCTATTTTTTTTAAGTTGTAAAATCCCAGGAAGGGTTTGGAAAACCTGTATATATCAGGTAGCATTTTAAACTAGTGCAATTATTTTTAGAGGGCAATCGGCCTCTGAAAGATTTACCAAATGTTTCTATCTTTTGGCTCAGTGATTCCATTTCTGAGAATTATTGTAAAAAACTTACTTTGAAAGAAAAACAGAATATGGTTCATAAAGAACATTTCTTGTTGGGGATTCATAATGCTGAAAACTGTAAACAACTTATATTCTGAAAGGGAGGTTTTGTATTAATTGTGGCATATTATCCACCAACTCAAAGCAGCTAGTCAAAACAATAAATATGAAAATAATATGGTAAGATGAAAAAGTTTATCACACTGTCACTTTAAAGAGTCATACAATCAACTAGGGGAATTAACAACTGTAATAATACAACAGGATGGAATGTAAACAAAAAAAATCTAAGTGCATGGCATGACATCACTCAAAGGCGTGTGGTAAAAAATAGAGCAGCTTACAAGTAACTCTGGAAAACAGCATTTTGACTGGAAACTAACGGCAAAAAGACAAAAATAATTGCACATAAACACTGTACTTTAGTTGATAAAGTTGTTTTGAATGGGGAGACAGCTTAACAAATCTGAAACCACTTACACAAATAGTGCAATCAAATAAGCAAATAGATGGTGGATGGTGGGAACCAGGCTTCTCGCTCTGAGAAGAAGTAACAGAGAGAAGCAAGGAGAAAAGGCTAGAATGGCCTCTGTAATAATAGAGTTGTCAAAGACATCAGTATGAGCTTGTGTTTAGCTTAACATAGATACAAATGGAGACACAGAAACAAAGATTCACAGGAATTACTAACATGCGTTAGTCTACCTACATGTAGTTCCTAGCTCTGTAGCTCATGTATACATACATGTAGTTCCTAGCCCTCTGACAGGGCCTAGAAGCAACGACACTCCAGGGGCAGTGAGCACACCACATCCAGATCTTGGCTTCTAAATACCATTCCCCAATAAAAGGAATCAGGGTTCCTTGGAGAAAGGGCTGATTCAAGGACTGGGGCAGAGAAAATACAAGATGAGCCCACAGCATCTTAGAGAGCCAGAGAGCAAGGAAGTGCTCAAAAACCAAAGGATGGGAGCATATCAAAGGAACACAAGAGCCAAGCTGAAAGAGCTCCAACTAAATCTGGGACAATTTCAGCAACCAAATAACAAAGAACTGGATTATAACCCCGAGTATAAAATAAACATATGAGTCCATAGTGATACAAATAAACTACTGTATTAAATATATAGGGGAGGGGCGCCTGGGTGGCTCAGTCGTTGAGCGTCTGCCTTCGGCTCAGGTCATGATCCCGGGGTCCTGGGATCGAGCCCCGCATCGGGCTCCCTGCTCAGCAGGAAGCCTGCTTCTCCCTCTCCCGCTCCTCCTGCTTGTGTTTCCTCTCACACTGTCTCTCTGTCAAATAAATAAATAAAATCTTTAAAAAAAATAAATAAATAAATATATAGGGGAGAAGAGATGAATCTTCCTTATATATGTAGATACTCCCCCCACTGCAAGAAGTAGAGTTTAATTCCATCCCCATCCCCTTGAGTATGGGCTGGACTTGGTAACTTGTCTCCAAATAACAGAGTACGGAAGGGGGGAGAAAAACAAGACTCCAGTGGACAAACCCGGCAAACACTGAGCTGGCCAGGAGATGAAGGTTAGCAACATCAGTGCTAAGTTCTATTAATGCAGGTAGCCTTGACATGATGTGATGCGGAGGGCACTCCACCTTTGTGCTATTCTTCCTCCAAAACCCAGAACATTAGTCATGAGAAAAACATCAGATAAACTCAAACTGAGTGATATTCTGTCAAGAACCTGACCCGTACTTCTCAAATTGTCACGGTCATGAGAAAGAGGGAGAGTCTCACACTTTCATAGTGTGAAACTGCCACAGACCAGAGCCTAGGCAGACATGACAATTAAACACAATGTGGGACACTGGGCTGGAGGAGGACATTAATGGAAAAACTGGTGAAATCAAAATAGAGTCCAGAGTTTAGTTAATGGTAACGTACCAATGTTGGTTTCTTGGTTCTGACAAATCTGCCGTAATAAGATAAGATGTTCACAATGGCGGGGGAAATAGGCACGAGGTATATGGGAACTCTGTACTATCTCTGCAACTTCTCTCTAAATCTAAAATCATTCCAAAGTAAGACGTTAAAAAAAAAAGTACTACATATAGCAAGTATATATACCCTATGATTCAACTGTGTAAAATATAATATATGAGGGGCACCTGGGTGGCTCAGTCGTCAAGTGCCTGCCTTCGGCTCAGGTCATGGTCCCAGGGTCCTGGGATCAAGCCCCACATCGGGCTCCCTGCTCTGCAGGAAGCCTGCTTCTCCCTCTCCCACTCCCCCTGCTTGTGTTCCCTCTCTCGCTATATCTCTCTCTGTCACATAAATAAATAAAATCTTTAAAAAAATAAAAAAATAAAATAAAATATAATATAATATATGAAAGTAAAGGCATTAGAAAACCAGTGCTTTTGGGACGCCTGGGTGGCTCAGTCAGTTGGGCATCTGCCTTTGGCTCAGATCATGATCCCAGGGTCCTGGGATGGAGTCCCACATTGGGCTCCTTGCTCAGCGGGAAGCCTGCTTCTCCCTCTGCCTGCCACTCCCCCTGCTTGTGCTTACTCACTCTCTCTCTCTGACAAAATAAATAAATAAAATCTTTAAAACAAATAAAAAATAAGTAAAGTCTTCTGCTCCAGAAAACACCTCCACTACCTCAAAAAAAAAAAAAAAAAAAGAAAAAGAAAACCAGTGCTTTTATGTTACTAGGAAACGTTGCATCTTTTCCCCTTACTATTCTAATGCTGTTTTAAATGTCCCAAAGAAGCCCCTGATAACTGGGAACATCCACCCTCAGTGAGGGAGTGTGAAAAGGAACCACACATGATCTCCATGGGAAAAGACAGAAGGTCCAGAATTGTCCACTGAAATGAAAGGGAGAGAGAGCAGAGGTGACAAACCACACAGCTGAACTGGCAGGATAATTACGCAGTGGGGACAGTGGTTCTAGCTGGGGTATATGGACTATGCCCCCTTCCAAGTATCCAAAAATCACCAGACTTTCCCTTAGTGATTTTCCAGGTCAGGGGTAAGACATCTCTTCATTTGCTGATTTTCCAACTTTTGTACATATTTATTACTTTAAGCAATTTAAACTGCAAAAAAAGGACAGAGGACAAGATAGGATGCTCATAGCTAGAGAAAAAGTCACGAGTCCATGTTTAAATCCAGTTACCTTATGTAATCGAAGGTATACATGAGCCGAAGAGAGTTTGTCCACATGAAACCTACAAAGAATGAAAACCACTTTTAGCAAGAGGTACAAGACAACCACCTCCTCAGACCCCTTGCCTTTAAAGCATTCTAGTCCAGAAAGTATTAACTCAGTGCTCACCACATGCCAAGCACCATAGGGAGTATAAAACACAGTCACCGCCTCCAAAGGCACTATCAACTGGGAGAGGTAAGATAAACATGGAAGGTTCTGCAGCTGTGTGAGACTAAGTGCCAAGATGAATACTAGAGACGATAAATGGAAATGCCCTGGAAAGGGTGATTTTTCCAGTGAGAAAGAGCTATCCATGACCAAAGGCTTCACTGATGGACTGAGGTTTAGAGGGTCCCTGACTGAAGCATGGGACTTAGAGAAAACACAGAGAAAGGAATTTCAGGTGAGGAGAGAAAGGAATGGAAGAAGTCATCAAGACTGCGGTGTTGTAAGCCTGGGAGACTGGCAGGACCACGGAGAGAAATACTTTACAGCTTGGGGAAGTGACACCAGTTTGGGGAAAAAAAGATGAGAGGTTTGGTTTGGGACATCCTAAGTTTCAAGCGATGGCAAAACAATCCAAAGAGAAGCACAGAGTTGGAAGAGTCATAAAATGGGTCAGACCAACAATTCATCCTGCCTCACATCTGACAATGGCCCTAATACAGGGCTTCTGGGAAAGCATGGGGGTTGCCCTTTATGATATTGTCCTAAAAACATCTGGAACGCCCTACCATCCCAATGTCCCAAATTTACCTTTTATTAAGGCTCTATCATCTGCCAATTTAATGAAATCTTTCTAAACTTAATTCTTTTCTCACCTAATCTTAACGTTTTGAGATACTAAGTTTTTCATATTTATAATTCACCAAATAAAGTTGATTTTCTCTCTCCTCAACTTCCAGAGACACCCCCAGGACTCTAGCACCAAACAACAGTAACACATGATGGTCACTTTGGGATTCTGTTAACTTTAATCGTCTCTTCCTTAGTTCCTAACTTTCCAGGCTAAAGAGTTTTCAGTAAAAACCTAAGGAGGTATATATTTCTCTAGACATTTTCTTAGCAATAATGTATCTTTCAGAGGTGAAAATGGTCACACACTCACACCTAGTACAAGATGCAGACAGCGTGGTTCTATATAAATGTTAAGATTACGGTGTTCTCTCTTCAACAAGTTAAGCATCTTGTTAGTCACTTTGGATCCAGAAAAATATTACACTTTTTTGACAGTCTATGATGACTCTAGGTTCTATTATTAACCTTTACTGCTAGCCAGAAGTGGACATTGATTTATTTTTCCCCAACTGGTTCATTTACTCATTTGCATTCCCATATAAGAGATTCCTACTGATTAGTGTCTTCAGCTCGGCCTTTTCCACTGAAAAAAATGTGTTTTTGCAAATCTGAAATTACATAGCTCATTACCCTCTTGCAGGATCCTAGGATTAGAACCCATGAAGAAGCAAGTTCAGCTGAGAAGTAACTTCTCCCATTCCAACTTGTTTTAAGCCAGTTCTCCATTTACAACTCTTTCCTACATACCCACAGTAGCTCAATTGTATTCTGATTTTCCTTAAGAAAAAGTCTCTGATATGGAATTTTGTCAAAAGAAACACACAAATAATTCAATATACATCGAATGGAGTGATACATAAGTAGTTGAAATGCCAAAACACACAGAGAATATATCACTGCTGATACACAGACCAACTCCAGGCTGGTAGGTATACCTCTACAAACAAACTATCGTGAGCAAGTTTCCTTAAAAAAACCTTTCCAAACCTTCTAAAATGTTCACTCCAAAAAGTGTAAACCATGCCCAGTAGTTCCCTAGTTATCTTCCTCTCTCTCTACTTCATCACTGTTTTCTTTACTGAACGCAGAGACTAGAAAGCTCAATAAATGAGCATCAGTGACCGGGGGATGCAGAGATGAAGGCCCTCAGAAGCTGAGTCATTTAACTCCTGAAAGTGGAGTCCCTGGAAATACTGTTCATTAGGGAGTTTGGAGGCAGTAAACACACACTATTTCTATTTTCTTTTGTTTAAAGATAAATTCAGTTCCATTCTCATTTAGTCCTGGGAAAATCCTTTGCTTAAAGGTGCCTCAGAAGGTTTTCTGGTATAATCAGATGCTGATGTTCACACAGGTAGAGTTCCATAATTTATCTCAGAGTGAACCATGTTGAAAAACTACCCCGGAATGTCGATCAACTGAATCATTCCTAGTATGCCCAGGAATGTTTCCAGGACTGACAGAACAGTCTTGAAATTTAGGGCTGGCTATTCTACCTCACATTAGGCCTCGAATAGGTTCTAAAAGTGAAAGTCAATCACTTCCAACAACAGTCATTAGTCTCAAGGGTGTCAAGATGGCTATCAAGGTATCTGTAGACACCAATTTGGTTAAATAGCATTCCAGGAGATAATCAACCATAATGAAATAAAAAACCCAACTCAGAACACAGAGAGTGTATGTTATAAATTAGAAATTTCTCTTCCACTTATTTAATTAAAAAAAAAAAAGTCAGGTAAAAGGCTGTGGTAAATTGACTTTCGTGATGCATCTGAATATGTAACCTTTACTATGCAGGTACTTATGCCTCAAAGCTGACATGTTTAAAAATTCACAGCAGATAACTACATAACAGGTGTGGCCATTCTAATATCCCTTGACAGGATCTGGAGATCTTTGGGCTTTAAGGACAACTGAAATAATGCAGCTCGGTGACAGGTGCTCAAAATGGAGATACCAGAATGCAGTTATTATGAAGAAATGTCCAGGAGAGATCATCGCTAGAGAGGCAGAGAGTCAATTTTTCCTGAACGTGTACCATGGGCCAGGTCCTATGGTAGGGAATGGGATGTGGTAGTAAACAAAGTAATCGTTGTCCTCATAGGAGGACAACTTTAGACTTATAAAGTTCCAGGAAGGTAAGCAGCACTCAATCTAGAAGCCCTGGGCATTGCAAACCCCCGACCTGAGGTAAGGGGGTACAAAGCAGTGTCTACCTGATGACACCTGGTATTTGAGTTCAGAAGATGGGCCACTGTGCTGGAACAGGGGGGAAATTAAAAAAAAAAAAAAAAAAAAGACTTTAAAATTCCTCAGGTTTATAGTGCCTCTTGGTTCCTTTAGTGAGGACAAACAGGAAAGCATTTCCTCTGCATCATGAATTAGCCCCTCCATAATGGGGTAGGCTGGAGCAACAGAGGAGGAGCCCTTTGGTGGGTGTCTGCAGCTGGGCCCGGGGGGTTCTGAGGATGGCCACATCTGGGGGGAGCTTAAGTTAGTCTCTGTGCAACAGTTTTCCTATTAAATGTCCAATGCTGTCCACTCTACTGAAAATCAAGCAGCTCTTTTTAAAAAGTGCCTAACCTCTGTGTCTCTAGGGAATTGAGTGAAGGATCCAGGCCCACACTTGGAGAAAAGAGGTCCAGAGAGAGCTGCAGCAATGGCCTGAGGAAGGAAGGCATCCTTAGCCAAAGAGCAGCAGCCGAAGGGAAGAAAGAAACTGGTAATTCAGAACTAAAGCCGGCTGGGGGGGTGGCCAGCAACAACCTGAGCACATCTGTTCAGTTTCCTTCAGCCTTAGCTTCCTCATCTGAAAATGGGCTTAATACCAGTAACTCTTTTACAGGGCTACTGTGAAATTAAATGTATTAATAAAGTAAACACCTACCAGTACTTGGCATATAGCTAGGTATTCAGTAAGTGTTCATTATTATTATCATTAAAACAAAGAGGATCTGTGTGCTTATCTTTAGGGATAGCATTTGGCCGGGGGTGTTTGGAGTTGTGGAGACCACACCCAGCTCTATATATAGAATTAGGCTCCAGGAGAGACACATCACAAGAGTAGAAGCTGAAGACAGAAAAGGAAAGCAAACTGAGCTCGACAGTGTTACATGAAAGTCATGGGAGCCCATGTCCTCCTAAAAGGTTTGAGGTCCGAGTGGTAGAAATGCCCATATGACATTCTAAGGCAGTTAGAAAAGGAAAAGAATTCAACTAAAATGAAGGAGTTTTTTGTTCATTGGTCATTGTTTTTTGGGCTGGGTTTTGTGAACAGCAAGAATAAATTATCTTGGAAGGAGAGAAAGAAAGTACAATTATTATTCTTTAAATTTCCAGAAAATATTTTAGAAAGAGGGAGTAGAGGCGGATCAAGACAGGGCTAACGTCATGAGGGAGTTGAGAAGACAAAGGGAACCCAGCCTGTGTTTTCTTTAAAGCTGGACCTGGTCAGATGCTCTATCTATTTCATCTACACGGAAGTTTCTATTTTCCTCACTGCTACTTGTGAAGCCCTCATCCATCCTTCGTCCTTTCAAGAAGAGTGGTCTGAGTGTTTGAGTGAGGTGGTCTCACTAGTCCACTCTGAGAAGACCACATATGAGGTTAAAGAATGTCTAGGTTCCAGAAGCCTCTATGGTCAACCCCAGTTTACACGGCAATTATAAATGAAGGGGGCTGGCAGGCAGCTACTTACCACTGACCATTCATAAACAAAATGCAAAGCAAGAGTTCTAGGTTTCATCATAAAAGTCAGGTGGTTGGCCAAATCTAAGAAAGTAAATAAGGCATAGAAAGGAGAACCAGAGTTGTTACTTACCAAATATCTTCAGGCCAGCCATGCTTTATTAGATCTTCATCTATAGTGAGGAACAAGAAAACAAAGAAAAGGTTAAAAAAAACCTGTCAAATGAAAATATGCCAGAGTTTATAGTAAGCGGGGGAGTGGAGAAATCCCAAGCCTTTCCACAAGTGTTTCTCTCCCTTAATGGAGGAAAGAGTAATTCAGAGGCTATGATGCTTGAATAATACAGGAAAAAAAATTCGTAAAAATGGTTTTTACATTTGGGCCATCATAATTGTTATTATTTTTATAATAATACTTATAAGAAACTTCAAAAATATTTCCATTAAAAGACAGTAAAACTTCAAATTAGAGCAGCTAAGAAGTTAGGTGAGGTCCAAGAAAATTGATTCACTGTAAGAAACTTATTTGTTAAAATGGCTTTGCTAATCAGTGGACTGCATTTTACTTTTTAAAAAAGACCTCTCAATTATAAAATTGTAGAACATTGGAAGATAAAATAACCACCAGAAGTATAAAAAAGGAAGTAAAAATCACCTAAAATTCTGTCACATACAAAAAGAAAAACAGAATAGAAGAAATAGCTACAAGTTAAAACGGTCTCTGTGGGATGGAACACGGGTATTGGAAAGAATAGGGTGAAAAACTGATGTTTTTATGACACGCATTCTGTTACTATTTCAATTTTTAAGCTATGTATTTATTAGATCAAAGTAAAATAAAAAATGAAAACGTTCTTTGGAAACAATGACTACTTAATTCTATCATGTGAATAAACTTTTCTACTGTTCAGATTTGGATTGTTTTTAATTATAAATGCTTCAGTAAATATTTTTAAAATAAGTATGTCCATATTCCTGATTATTTCTTTCAAAGCATATTTATAAAAGGTGAGTTATTCATTCAAAATGTATACTTTTACATTTTTAAGGCTAATAATATATATCACTACAGAAAGGTAATATCAATATACATTTCCAATAGCCACATTAATAATTAGAAACTAATTGTGTTTAATACAAAAGCATTATTTAAAGTATTAGACAATGATTGAAATGATGGTTTAAAATGTACCCAAGAGAGTATAATCTATCTAACTTGAAAGGTATTCATTTTCCAGAAAAACAAAAGGATGATAAATCTTGGATGAGGGTACTCTCAGAAACGGCAGACACCATAAATTTTCTGAAGGGCTTTCTACTAGCTTAAATGGGAAGCCGAGCCAATAGCCAACAAGTAATCAAAAAAAGTAAAGGGAAATATAAAAACCTCTTTTCCTCAGTCAGGCAATGTTTGGCTCCCTGGTGACACCTGCTGGCTAATAAAAAGAAAACATCTGAAAGCTTTTTAGTGAAAGTAAATTATTCAATTAAAAATTCATTTATGTTCCATCTAGTCATTTGTCTGAAGTCATCAAGGCTATTAGACATAAGTATGAAGTGCTAGGAGCACTAGAAAATGGGGTACTTTAAAAATGTAATACCTTTCTTACAAAGCAGACTAGGAAAGCTGACACCTCCAAATGACTCCAAGTGGTCATGGGGAAAAAATGTTCTACACATAGATTTTTTTCTACATACATTTTAATGACAGCAAAATACTACTCCAGTGGGCTCTGGAAAGAATCTAAATTTACATCTGTAGGCATAAATTGTGTATCTAGATTTATATCTGTAGATAACAAGTTTCTACAACTGACATTCCTTTAAATGGGCTGCAATCAAGCCCATCCTAACCCTTCTCCACGAAGCCTTCTTGGTTCTCTCGCAATCACATTTACTCTCTGCCCCCTCTACTGCTACAGCACTTATTCATATTGCTTCATTTCACCCATACTCTTTAAAATAGGCTTCATTTTTTAGAGAATTTTAGGTTCACAGCAAAATGACCCATTATTTTTGTGTGCACCTCTCCACCTTTAATGCTATAATAGCACAGACCACATCTTCCTCTTTGGCTACTCAGACAGGTTGGCATATGGCCCCAAGAAGATCAGCCCCAGCAAATCATAAACTAAAATGGAAGGAAAAAAGAGACATGGTGGGAATGTCACTGGCAAAGCTGCCTTAGGTCAGTACCACCAGGAGCCCATCAGTGGGAAGCAGTATCAATGCTGTCCTTCACTGTAAGAAAATTCCCTGCCCAGAGTCACACAGTGCAAAACCCACACAACCGTATGTAGCAGCTCTCCTTTAGGTGCTTCTCAGTAACCTAAGTCTTGGGCTTGCATCCTTGATGTGGTAGAAAGAAAAGTAGATTTAATCAGGTGTGGATCCATATCTACTGTAGATAAGCAGGACTGGTTCTAACAGTGCCTCCTTGCTCAATCTCATACAAGGAGATAGCATCCCCTTCTCAGGCACATTCATCAGGAGGATACAAAGAAAAAAATACAAATTACCTATGATGATGTATGAGTTACTAGGAGAAATAGAAAACTCAAGTATTAATATACAGCTGCTTCTCCATAAGTCACACCAGAGACAATGGCATAAATTCATTATAAGAAAACACTGTTTAAAAATTATTTTATGGTCGTTTTTGTTTTTTTTTTCTTGGATAGGATGTAATAGTCTTGCTTATTCTGATTCTGCTTTATGGCAACCAGTATCATTGCAAAGTTCTAAACCATTTATATAGATCTGAATAATAACTATATATATTTACACAGCTATTACACATATCACATTACATATTTTATATATGCTACACTGTATGTGTTATATTAGATATGTATATATGTTAACTATAGTTATAAATCTATATATACTACAGTAATATATAACATTACTGTTCTTTGACATTTTTTCCTTTCTGGCTTTATTTATTTCATTCATGTCAAATGTCTCATACTGAAGAATGTTATACTTGCCTCTTTTAGAGAATCAAGCTTAAACTGTTGTCAGTTTCAAACTGCACCTAGAACAGACTGATGGTTTTAGGGCCGGGGGTTGGGGCGGGGAAGCAATACCCGGAGGTTCAAGAAAAGTAATTGGAGGGAATTGGCCAGCTCTCAGATTACTGAAACGGTCACCCGGCCCTGGAGTGGTCCCAGGAGAGGGAGGAGCCAGCTCTGGAAAGCTAAAAAAACTCCATCAGTTTACTGAGCGCCCACCCTGGGCCAGGTGCTTTACTCAGGCTCTTCCATTTAACCCTCACACCCCTGCAAGGCAGATACTGGCCCATGATGCTCTCCTTATATCTCAGCAATGTGAGGTTCAGAGAGGTGAAGTGACTACAGCTAGTCTGCTAAGAGCTGGGGTTTTAACGCAGATGGGCCTGACTTCAGAGAGCTCTTTTCCAAAACATAACACTATCCCTGTGAGAAGAGCCACTGTGTCTTCTCCAAGCTTGAAGAAGAATGCTTCTGTCAGGTCTCCAAGCTCCCCTGCTGCAGATCTTTTCTCCCTCAGCTCAGTGCTGTCAACTCACTGCTCCAGAGCAAGCAGTTTTCCCTTTTAAACTTTAGTTCACATTGATTAGTGGGTCAAGAAATTAATTCAGCTGGTTGAGTTTAGCTTTGTAAAAATAAAACAAAACAGAAAAGAGGGCATAGCAAAGAGTTTGGGTATTTTTTTGTAAATTTTTGTTTTAGTTACATCAATGTGTACAGTATGGAATTGATTTCATTCTGATGAGAGTGATCAACAAAGTTTGAAAAAATAATGTTAACATTTCATAACTCAAAAAGAGCCATCTTCAGCCTCAAAAACCCTAAAAGTATGTTTCCTCTATTCTTAAATGGGGTAAAATGTACAGAAAATGATCTTTTCAACCAAGTCACAGATGATTTTTACTTGACATAAGTTAGCACAGGTTAACCTCTGATTCATATCACCCTAAATCAAACGATACCACAAAACTCTTAGTAAAAGTTAAGTTTCTAATCAGCAACAAGTGGTCCAATAGGCCCCAATATTATTTGATATAACTAAATTCTAGGAAAGTTAACACACTGAAGTTCCTTATAATGGGCTTAACTAGTAGTAGTTAGCTGGAAACTCAAATCTGACCAACTGTGGGGGGTTGGGGAGAAGGCAGTTAACACTTACCTGATGGAAATTTCAAAATCAAATGCTTTTGAAAACTTACTTTCATATTTATCCTTTCCCATGTAAATAGTGTAAGCAGATGAGTTAACTAAGACAAAACAAAAATATAAAAAACAGTTAGAGAACTTCATCCCCAACAAAACTGCTTCATGGAAAAAAACATGACAAATGCTTCGATTAGAGGTTGGCAACACATGGCCCAGATGCCAGATCCAGCCCTGTTTTTGGACAGCCCCCATGCTAAGAAATGACTTTTACATTTTTAAAGAGTTGAAAACACAAAATGAAGAAGAATAAAGCTACAGAGACTGTATGTGGCTCACAAAGTCTAAAATATTTAATACCTGGCCCAAATAGGACAAGTTTATTGACCCTTATTATAGAATAGCCACTTCCCTACTTTCATCAGGGATACAGTTCAATACAATTCCAGTTCAGTCCTATACTTCTGCCTTCTTCAAAAGAGTAAAAAAACAAACAACAACCCAACCTTCACCTCAACCATTTAAAAATAGGCTCCTATACTTTGATGAGTTTTTTCATAATTTTATTTAGGCAATATTAGTTACCTTCCAGGTATGTTGCATATTATAATGGACTATCCCATTCTGGGGAAAGATGGTCAAGCATCTTCTAAATCAGTGACTCTGAACCCCGATCACACATTAGAATCACCTAATTATGTCCCAGCTCCACTAAGACTAACCAAATCCAAATTTCTGGTGGATAAGCAATGGTGTGTTTTTTCAAAGGCTCTTCAACTATTTCCAATGTGAAGTGAGTGTTAGGAACCAATGCCTTAAACCAAACTGAATATTCTAGGTATGGCTTACCTTGGAAATGACATTTGCTTTACCGAGCTAGTGTCTTTTACTGCAGGCATACTCCATCTGGAGTCAAACAAAAAGTTAAGTTTCTGAAATTGAAATTCTATCTGGGCACTGGGTTTCCAAGCTAGTCTACCAAAACTTGTTTGACCCCATCTGGATCTAAACTCCTGAGTTAATATATTGTCACTGGGCCCCCCGTCTGGGCAGCTTGTTGGCTGTCACTCCAGAGCACAGAACTAGTACATGTGAGTGGAGCTCTGAAGGCCAGGGGGTAGCACGCTCATGTATAAATTCTTAAATTCTTAAATAAATTGCCTGTACTTTCAGCAATGAGAAGCTCTTTAAATTATCATAGTTGCCTCTCTTGGGGAAGGAAAATCCCATTTCCTTCAGTCAACAGTTATAATGACCACAACTCAAAATTACCTGGAAGTAGTTGAGAGAACTATCTGAAAAGGAGAGAATATTTGCACTGACTAGTTGACAGAAATACTAGTCTATAATTGAGCATTCCATTAGCTTGGTAAGGCCTTAGCATAGCCAGAACAGCCATTATAACAAATGGCAGAAGTGCAGAAATAAAGCCATTTCAGATGGTCTCTGCACAACCCCAGCTTTATCCTATGTGTACACTCTTTGATCCTGTAATGTCACCACTAAGTATATGCTATAATTACTCTATCAAGCAATGATGTTCTTTTTACAACCTAAACACTCATTAAGACTGGTTAAACACTTGGTAGCACATCCATAAACAAAATACCACCTACCCACCGAAAACAAAAGGTAGAAATTAAATAACAGTATTTTTCTATACATACAGCAAGATTCAATTTGTAAAAAATGAATATACAGTTGTATATGCATGTTTACAACTAGATGCTTAACATATGTACCTATTTTCTTTATATGTATGGGAAGATATACATATAACTGTTAACAATACTTACCTTGGCTAGCTGGCTTACCAAACATATAGATGGTTTTTATAATCAGAACGAAAGTAATTTTTCAAATGATTAAAATAAAATAAAGCTGTTTGTGCAGGCTAAGCCATCTAAATTATAGCCAAGAGAGTGACAGACAATTGTTTGGATGGTTGACTATAAAATGAGGTGATTAAGAACATAACTCAAATGCAAACTGAGGGGTATTCTACAAAATAATTCTTCAACAACAGTGTCATGAAAGACAAAGACTGAGCAACTGCTCCAGATTAGAATAGGCCGAAGAGTAATGAATGACAACTGAATGCAACAACGATTTGTAATGTTCCTTTGTTATAAATGCATTATTAGGACACCAATGAAAACCAAATAAAAGCTGATGAGTTAATAGTATTGCTGCAATGTTAATTTCCTAATTTTGATAATGAGGAATGCTTTTTGATAACAGAACATCTTTGATTTGGGGGGGGGAACCCTGAAGTATTTAGGGGTAAAATGTGACAGACAAATGGCTCAAGAAAAAATGTGTGTGTGTGTGCACATGTGCACGCGTGTGTGGAGAGAGGGAGATGAAGAAAAAGAAAGAGGAAAAGAAAGAAATAAGTTCTAATGTTAGAATTTGGGGGATCTGAGAGGTTAGAAAGGAAATCTATTTTGTAACTTTCCTGAAAGACCGAAATTAGTCAAAATAGAAAATTCAAAATAAAAAGGAGCAAAACTGCTGAGCAAGAAGTCTGAATGAAGTTCCTGTGTATGTTAATAGGGATAAAGGGAAAAGTAAATTGAATTATTCTAGTACTTTTGTTACTCTTGCCCAAAGAATAGGGTTGATTAGTATGGAAACTAGTCATCTTAAAGGTACCGGATTCAGGTGTAGCAACCAATCCAACTTTAGAGGCTCTGTGATAATTTCGTAATTTACATAACAATCTATCTTGAGGTAGATGCAATTAAAAGGTACTAAAAGTACAGATGGACTTAATGAGCCAAGTGCAGATACTTCGTGGGTCCATAAATCAGATGGTCTTGAATTTGACAGTGGAAATACAGTAAGGCTAATGTTTCACTATTCCCTTAGGACAGAGCATGAAAACATGAATAAAGTTTAAGAGATTTTAGTTAGACACTAATTTTAAAAGGAAAGGCAAAAACTTTGTAACTGAGATTTTCTCCCCATTTAAAAACAGTTTTTATACAGTAAACCTTAAGTTGGTTGAAAAGCTTGGCTAGCTAGATGAAGTCATTTCCTGAAGATTCTGTATGTTCAGGTTGTTTTCTCTAATGGAATATGTTAAGGTTTCATTACTATTTTACTGACAGTTATAATTTTTTCATTAACTTTGCAATTTTATTTTTAAAAGATTTTATTTATTTGAGAGAGAGAGAGAGAACAAGAGAGAGCTTGAGAGAGGGAGAGGGGCAGGCGGAGAGGGAGAAGCAGGATCCCCGCCGAGCAGGGAGCCCGATATGAGCCTCCATCCCAGGACCCCGGGATCATGACCTGAGCCGAAGGCAGACGCTTAACCGACTGAGCCAACCAGGCGCCCCTTTTGCAATTTTAAAGATTTGCTGCCCAGGTACGTTTTTGTTAAAGTCCAAATATTTTTCCAACAGGAAGCAGTTCTAGCCTTTTAATGGAAGCCAATGAGAAAAATATGACCCATAATCTTCTGAAACACTGTTCTATTACAGGCATCTTTGTAAATATGAACATAGCTCAAAGAATTAGAATGGCTTTAAGGAGAATAAGGCAGCTAACATAAAAAACATGTAGTACCTACATACCCTGCCTGTATTTTTTATTCCATTGTTGGGCTTCTTTGGATACCTATGTTGTTGGGAACTCTCATGAGTGGAGAAGCTAAAAAGAGATGTTGGAGTTAGGACAAAGTGTGCAAACAAAAAAGAGGGAGGATGCTATTAGGGGCCTATAATGGCTTTTCAGGCTAGTGTGAATTGTTTCTGGTAATTTTAATAATATGGGTAAGACAAACCAAATCTATAAAGGCAGAGAAATGGTTTATAGCACACTGTGGAAGTCTAGACTACTGAAAAAAATAATGAGATGTGACAGTGTCATGGAATGGGGGGCAGTCCGTGAGCAAATTCCTTGGGCCTTAATGTTCTCATCTTCAGAGAAAGTATCATCACCCTTTTCAACAACATGGGGCTAGTTTCCCTTCAATCTCACGTTTAACAAGCAAGCAGAGAGAGTAACAATAGAATAGTATGTGCTATGACTAAGTCAAAAAATACCTTTATTCAACAAGCATTTATCAACTACTATGAGCCAGGCACTAGACTAGGGAAACAAGGAGATCCTGACCCTGTCCTCAAGAAGCTTACGCTCTAGATTAAGCAGACAGCATTTAATACCATATGATAAGAGCAATACCAAAGATACACACGGGGTGTTAAGAGAGTCCCCTAAAGAGGTTTAGCTAAGCAATCTCTGGGTGGGAGTTAGGTTGGGAGAGTCATTTGTAAAAGATGAGCCAGAGCTGTCTTACGGGAGTTAATGGGATTGATCAAGCAAAGGGAACAACATACGCAGAAAAAACGAGGTCAAGACATAGCACTTCCTGGGAACTTAAAGAACGCTCTCCTTGGCTGCCAAAGACAAATAAGAAACACTATCATATGTCAATTTTTGAGATCTGGGACGTCAACTCGGCCCAGTGAGTGGCTGTACCGCCACTCCACGGTCTTTTTATTGTTTTCTGTTGCATTCCAAGACCTACAACGCTATCCTAGAAGGGTAGGGCGCACTTCCTGGAAGGCAGTGTGGTTGGCAGGTGTCTCCTTTCTCCTACAAAGTGGGTAATTACCAGGACGCAGTGAGAATAAAGGCCAAGGAGGTGGGAGTAACACCTGCGACGGGGGTATAAAGAAGCCCACAAACTCTGCCCAATTCCAGGTAGCGAAGGGAGGTCTTTCCGAGAAAAACAACTCCCGGATGCAAAGACAGCAGGGGTGATGGTCCATCTACGCTCCCCCAGGCCCTGACAAGGGGCACACGGGGACGACAGGGACGGACACAAAGTGGGGACCGAAAGGGCGCAGGAAGAAGCACCCACTACCGAGGAGGAGCAGTTTTAGGATGAAGTTCAGGCTGAACAGCAGCTTGGGGGTCCCGGCTTCGGAGCCCCGCTGTCAAGCAGGGACGGAGGAGGTTACGGCGCCCACTCACCGCTGTTGCTGGTAAAGTAGAACACCATGATCCCGGCGGCGGCGCAGATACTCCAGCGCGAAACAGAAGCACTCAACTCGACAGCTCAGGATACCAGAGAGCGGAGGCCGCCTGTTTCCCGGAATTCCTCGCGCACTTCCGGCGGACGTCGGGTCGCGTCATAACGCCAGCCCTTTGGCGCCATCTTTAATCCTGGCGGGGGGGCGGGGTACGGAGGGGTGCCGGTGGCGGGGGAGGGTGCAGGCGCGCTAATGGCAATCATTGGTTGGGGGGTTGAAGAAGGAAAGAAGATGGAGCTAGGACAATTCGTGGTTGGGAAACGCAGCGGGGAAATTCTATCTTCTTTAAAAAGATAAATACCTTTGGCCGACTTTATTTTTAGAACCTCCATCGAATGGGCTGTCCTATCTTGAGGCCTGTTGGTTGTATTTGCTACCCATCACCCGCTGATGGGCTCCCTGACAGCATTGAAACCATTTGCCTTCTTCACAGATAGGCGTTCACTGTGCCAATCACAGTACTTGGCACGTAGTAAGAGCTCATTTTATTTTGAAATGAACGCGAATTCTTCCACTATTCATATTCTAGCTCCACCACTTGTAAGGCGTTTGTTGGGCACATTCTGTGCTTCGCTTACCTGATCTGCAAAATGAAGAGGAATAGAGCAACTCATTCACAGGTTATTTTTCTAAGGTTAAGTAAGTTAACAGGCGTAAAGGGTTTAGAACATAGTGAGCTCTCAACTAAAGTGATTTGCTAATGATATTCCACAGAGGCATATGCTTCTTGGGGTTTGGACTCGGGACTGTTCTACCGTTAAATCTAAGATCGGCCATCTATTACCTCTGTGATAGGGCAAATTCCAAACAAATGAAACTTAGAAATCTAACTGCTTTTGTCAAGTGGGAATAATATTACTTATATAAAGCTCCCCAGCAGTTAGTTTTGACCTGATTATTTCTCTTCACTCCGACAGACTACATTCTATGAAGTAAAGTGCATCCTTTAACTAAATTTATTTAGAACTAAAAATGTGCCAAAGACTACCAGGATCTGGTGACACAAAGATAATAACAGTAGCTGACAACCCGTGGGTACTTTAAGAATCGTATGGCTTCCCAAAGCAAGAACCTAGCTATATCCTATAAATAGTACTTGTTTTCAGGCCCTCGGTTTTAGTCTCAGTAAAATGGGAATGATAATACATATCTCACAGGTTGTGACGAGAAGTAAATGAAATAAAACTCGTAAAGGGTGTGAGACTGCCTGGCACATCACAGATGCTTAGAGCCATGATTTAATTTTTTTAATTTAAGTTGAAAAATAAAAAATGAACTAGAAATCTAACATTTTACTAATAAAAAAAGTTAAATTAATGGACAAAGCTTCAAATGTGAAAGATAACTGCCTCGAGAATCTTGGGGAGGCTACTTTACAAAAACATGCTAAACCAAGTAACCCCAGAAGGTAACTCGACCTCAAGAGTGACTTTATTTTGCCGAAAACTACAATTCCCAGAATGCATCTAAACCAGACCTCCCTACCTCGAGAACGGAGCCCGGAGCTGCCGCAAGGGATTATGGAAGGCGTGGATTCCTTGCCTGAAGAGAGCATTTCACCTGCTAAGGGCGGGAGAATCTTGGAGACCACCTCCCGGATAGGCGGGGCAACGGCTAGGAGCGACCAATCACCGAGCCAGCCCTTGGAAGGTCTGAAAAGCGGCGAATCAGAACGCAGCAGCTTCAGCCTTCACGGGCGCGCGGTAATTTGAATACAGTGGAGGAGAAACTGGCTCCTCCAAAGAGAGGTTCCCGGCTTCGAACCTCAGGTAAGAGCTGCGGGGGCCGAGGCGTGGGGCGGAAGACTGAGGAGAACCGGAGATTCTGTGGAACGTGCGGGTGAATGTCAAGGAAAAAGATCTTTTAGCTCAGGGCTTGGCGCCACGGCGGCTCAAGACCGAAACCACCCGGGGGTTTTCCGCACTTTGAGGTCACGGGGTTTCCATTTTTCTGACTTAGGGTTTCCTTGTCTATTTGCCCTGACAAGGTTTGGGAACAGGCGCGCTTTTCTGTCATATCTCTCCTCATTCAGCCCCAGAAGTGTCTTCTCTTAAGCCGCTACTCGACATTGAGTTCCAGGGACCTTGGTTTTCTGTTTCACCCTGAAATCATATTTGTGTATTATTTTTTTTAATGTACCTGATCCGAAGGAAGGAGAAGAAACTACTGAGCAACATAACCAGGCTCTCTCATGCTCGAGAATTAACGTGCATGATTGTGTTTATTTTCGGCAGCCGGAGGACGTCCAAGTCTTTTATAAACAAGAAACAAGCGGCTTGTTCTAGGCTCTTTAGTAAGATGGGAGAGGATTATGCTAAACCCGTTTTCTTGCTGAACTCTGAAGAAAAAGCTAGAAACGTCTCTGCTTCATTGAGCATTCAGGCTGTTGAGGAAGACAGTTAAACCAACAAGAAAATGTGTTAAATGGCGTATTAAGGAAGTGTGGGGTCTGGTGAGGAAAATCAGCAGGGAGATATCCCAGTAGAGCATTTAAACTTGGTGTTAATTAATCAGGCTAACTAAAGGGGAAAATGTGTCCTGAAATGGAATTTAAGGGCGCCTGGGTGGCTCAGTCGGTTAAGCGTCTGCCTTCGGCTCAGTTCATGATCCCAGGGTCCTGGGATCGAGCCCCGCATCGGGCTCCCTGCTCGGCGGGAAGCCTGCTTCAACCTCTCCCACTCCCCCTGCTTCTGTTCCCTCTCTGGCTGTGTCTCTCTCTGTCAAATAAAAAAAAAGAAAGAAAGAAAGAAAAAGAAATGGAATTTAAAAAAAATATTTCCTCCTTGGTAGGATCATTTTCCAGCTTGAAACAGATGTACTAATTCTGCTTTTATTTCTTCTTCTTAATTGCTCCGGTGATGCAGTGTTTTCCTTTTTTTAATTTATTGTTTATTAAGTGTTCATTAAAGTGATTTGCTTTTTTTAATAAGCTTTTATTTTTTATTTATTTATTTAAAGATTTTATTTATTTGACAGAGAGAGACACACAGCAAGAGCGGGAACACAAGCAGGGGGAGTGGGAGAGGGAGAAGCAGGCTTCCCGCCGAGCAGGGAGGCTGATGCGGGGCTCCATCCCAGGACCCTGGAATCATGACCTGAGCTGAAGGCAGAGGCTTAACACTGAGCCACCCAGGGGCCCCAAAGTGATGTGCTTTTTAAAATACCTCATCCATCAAAAAACTTTTTCAAACTCTAAAAGTATAACTTTGATATAGTGATTTTTGTACATATTGGATAAATTTGGTTATTATAATTTTCCTATTGCTTTTAGGAGTTCAGTTAAGAAGATGTCAGCTTTTACTCCAAGAAAAAGGAAGCAGCATTCTTCGAACTATAACAAGTGAGTCTCATCCTGTGGTTAGAAGCTCTTAAAAAAAGAAAAATCCACCTTCTTGTCTTTCTTATAATCTCTCTTCTGTTTCTTTTTTTTTTTTTTTAAGATTTTATTTATTTATTTGAGAGACAGAGAATGAGAGAGATAGAGAGCACGAGAGGGAAGAGGGTCAGAGGGAGAAGTAGACTCCCTGCTGAGCAGGGAGCCCGATATGGGACTCCATCCGGGGACTCCAGGATCATGACCTGAGCCGAAGGCAGTCGCTTTAACCAACTGAGCCACCCAGGCGCCCCTCTCTTCTGTTTCTTAAAATTTCCGTGATTCCACTTGTCTACTCCTTGTGGCTGTAGTAACATTTTATATTCTAATTCTAATCTGGAAATACTGTAAGCTTTCAAAATTAATTATTCAGTGCCTTTGGAGAGAATCAGAAAAAGCTGTTTTCTGTGACTTGGAAATGTATGTCAAATCTTTTATTATCTTGCTCCTTTCTGTTCTCTTATATAATAATTAACATAGTGTTTTTCATACAGTACTCTTCTGTGAGCGATCCTAGAAAATCTGTTGACTCAGTGCTTACTCCATGTCATAATAGGAGATAAATTACTCCCCACAGAACAGGCTTGAGGGGGTCAGTTTATTACATAGAATTAATAATTTTAGGGAACTTGTAACCAGTCAAGCCTGGTGAGCTCTGAGTATATGGCCAAAACTTAGAAATAGATTTTAAAGCGCATGCACACACACAATATCAAAGCTTTTTTTGTTCACAGTGTTTGTTTTTGCAAGCATTATTGGGACTTTTGAAAAATATTTGAATGCTTTGGTAAAGACATAATTTGAGAATCTATTGTTAAACTAATGTGTATGGATGGGTGTTTGGTAGAGAGGATGTATTGTTTTTAGTATGACCTACAAGTATGGTTGTTTATTACTTAGCAGTAGATTGGCACAAAATTGAAGCAAAATGATACTTAAAATTGGACCTTGTTTCTTTTCATAGCCTATTATCGGACATTCCATCAAAGAAATTAATTTTGGACTTTGCTGAAAATATATTTTCATCACCTGATCAAAATTACATTTGCCAAAGCAGTGATAAAAATGAAGAAAATGTACATTGCTCTGAACAGGGCCATTTCCTTTCAAGTCCACTCAAAACAACTAAAAAAAACAGACTTCCACCTGCAAATCAAGGTTCACCATTTAAATCTGCTGTGTCCACTGTATCCTTTTACAACAAAAATAAGTGGTACCTCAATCCATTAGAGAGAAAACTGATAAAAGAGAATAGGTCCATTTGTCTAAAAACTAATAATGAAGACAAATCTTTTCCCGTGGTGACAGAAAAAATGCAGGGAAAACCAGTCTGCTCCAAGAGGTCGAATAAAAAACCGCAAAAGAGTTTAACTTCTAAATATCAACCAAAGTATAAATGCATCAAACCTCTATCAAAGAATTCTAAAAATTCCAAGCAAAATCGAGTGGCCTATAAGCCCATTGTAGAGAAAGAGAATAATTATTATTCAGCTCAAAATAATCTGAATGCTCCTCGGGTTCTAAGCCAAAAAGTCAAACCACAAGTTACACTCCAGGGTGGAGCGGCATTTTTTGTTAGTAGAAAAAAGCCCGGTCTTAGAAAATCGACTCTGGAAAACAAGCCATTACTGGGAGTCACACAAAAGAATATATCAGAAGTGATCGAAGATTCTGATTTAGAGACTGTCAGTAAAAGAAAAACTTTTCAGACAAGGCAAGTACCAAAGTGCTTGTTACTAGAAAAAGAACCAAGCGTCGAGCTGCTTCATGAAAGAAGTAAAAATGAAGAGAAATCAATAAAGGTAAAGAAAACCAAATATGTAACTTTAAAAACTAAAACTTCAGTATGCGTTATATATATATATATATTTTATATATATATGGTTGTTCAACATGGTTGAACAAAATTTTATTTTCTTTATAGTCCAAAGGACTGTTTTATGAAGCTGAATAGTATATTTTAGTCATTATAAAGAATTTAGGGGCAGGGTGGAATGATGGGACTTTTCTCTCTTTTTTGGCTTAAGGAAGCCTACAACATTTTCTTGCATTAAGATATGCATTTCATTAAATCCCCTTATTACTAAAGTCCAGAGAAACTTAGCAATTTTTACTTGGTAGTATTTTTAGAAAGTAAAAATAAAAAACTAGGGTAGTAGTTTTAAAGTATATGAGCATATTGCTTTTATTTGTTTCAGCTCATTAAAGTGCTAGATTCTAGAAAATTTAGAGAAGACAAAGTATTTTTTTTTTATACCTTGTTCTTGCTGGCTAAGCCATGACATTCTGATTTTACTCATTCTTCCTATTTTTTCTGCCAAAAAACACCCCCATATCTTGACTGGAGTTTTGGGTTTCGGTGATCTAAGTGTGTAAGTTTATCAAAACTGATCAAATTGTATACTTTATATCTGTGGACTTTATGTAAATGTACCTCAGTTTTTAAAAATGCACAATTCAGGCTAGAATTCTCAGTTTAGCAAAACAAAGTGGCAGTGGGGGGGGTGGTGTCTGCATTTCCATCCATCCATCTCCTGGTTAGTATTCTCCCTATCTATTTGGTAATAAAGATACAGCATTTATACAATGACATGAATTCTCTGCAACACTATTCTGCCTTATTTTCTTTTCTGAACTTCATTTTGTGGGGCTGGGTATTGGGTTCTGTCTAGTTTTCAGTAATCTTTGAGAAGCTGGGCTTTTACGCATCTTAAATTTGTGGAACTGAACTCTGCTCAAGATTCTTAAGATTTTGTTAAATACCCACTACTAGTATTCATCTCTCCTAGCCAAGGATGAATCCTCTTTTCATTAGTGGGTACATCACCTTTCCCCAACTCATTATGGAGCTCTGAGAAATGGTGAACTGATGCATTGTCCCATGTCTACTGAGATGTAATGGTCTTGAATAGGAGTTCTACTTTAATCAAAAGGGGTTTTTTCCTTTCCTCCCAAGCTATATATTCTCTAAGTCTTACCAGATTAGTACTGTTAATGAAATACTTGAGAATGTTTCTACTTTGCTTTTCCCCCTTCCCTGCTACTGCCCAACAAGTGGGATTTAGAAGCCTCTCCAGCTACTCCAGAGTGTTCTTTTTTTTTTTCCTTGGCTGCCTGTTTTTAAAGCTTATGACAGAAGGTTGTCCCTTCCAGTTTGGTGGCTGCTGGGGAAAATTTTGCCATTTTTGCTAATTTTTTTTAATTCATTACCATAGAAGGGATGTTTTATAATCTTCAGTCTACCATCTTTATCAGGAAATGTAATACATTTTTGACAGGATGACAAATTACAGTATTAAATATGTGCACTCTTATCTTTTAAAAGATTATGTATATTTAGTAAATATAGAGGAAATTTTACTTAAAGTAGTCTGAAAATTGATGATTTAAAATCAGTTTAAAAGTGTAATTTATAATAAACTAGATATTTTGCTTTAGGAATAAATATTGGGATTCATTCATGAGATAGGAAATAATTAAGAATTACAAGTTTCCTTTAATTTTTCCCTACTCATTTTTTTCAGGATTCATTAGGTGGAGTAGTTTCTTTAAGAGAATGTATGCCTAATGAAAATAAGTGTTTTCCTTCAGAGGATTCTCTCAGTGAAAACAAGGCGGGTAAGTAAGAGAAAACTTCTCAAAATGAGTTTATTTACTTGTAATGATAATTCATTAGTATCAATATGGAATTATACACAGTAATATGTTGGAGGTTTTTTTATTCAGTATGTGTGCTTGTGTTTGTCTCAGTGACACTGTTTTCTATGGTAGGCAATGCGGTGCATTTTGAAGACAAGGAGACCTTGGGCTGGAATTTAAGACAAATACTGATGCATAGTTGGTCTATGCGATGTGGCCAAGTTACTTAGGCTCCCTAGAACTCAGTCTTCTCATCACACCTGCTCTACCTATCTTTTACCCAAAATAATAGGAAGGAGTAAAAACAACTTATGTTATATATTCGTGATCAAAGTCCTATTGTAAGTAAGCATAATTTACGAAGCCATAGAAAGGACACTGAATTGGGCATCAGGAACCTTGGGATTTTGTCTAGGTCTGCCACTAATTAACTGTGTGATCTAGGGAGGAGATCTCTAAGGGGTTAGTCTTCATTTTTTAATTTTCTCTTAGTTCTGAAATCCCATTGCTAACTCGTGGTGTCATTGTTCAAATAAACAGTATTTACTAAACTATGAATATATATAGAGGTTAATTAACATTTTATTTACCAACCAGATTCTTGGTAACTTTACCTTGTTGGTTATATCTGTAATTTTGGAAATAAATTAAAATTCTAGGAATATATATGTTGACTATAGTGAGAAAACTGCAGTTCATAGGAAGAAAACAAAGATAAAACTAAAAGCATAATCTGGAGCAATAGCGCTTAACAGACTAAATGATATATATAGAAGGATTGTTCATAATGATAATTCTGAGATTCACTGTTAGTAACTAGTATTTACTAGGTGCTGAATATGTACCAGGCAGTACTAAGTGTTTAGTATGTGTTATGCTTCACATGGGTTGTGCTATTACTGATATAATGCAACATGTAACAGAACAATAATGGCTTTCTCTTTATAGTAGTTGTAAAGTTTTCTTTTAAAATAAATTTATTTCAGAAAACTAAATTCATTTAAAGAAAACTAATGAATAAAAAATAATACAGATGGCATAAGAATATGGCAAAATTCATAAAGGTGGTATACAAATGGTAAAAGTTGATTACTTCATAATTAGTTTATCATTTCTCACAACAACCCTAGGAAATGGGTGTGTATGCCCATTTTATAGAAGAGGAAAAGAGGGCGCCTGGGTGGCTCAGTTGGTTAAGCGACTGCCTTCGGCTCAGGTCATGATCCTGGAGTCCCGGGATCGAGTCCCGCATCGGGCTCCCCGCTCAGTGGGGAGTCTGCTTCTCCCTCTGACCCTCTTCCCTCTCGTGCTCTCTATCTCTCATTCTCTCTCTCTCTCTCTCTCTCTCAAATAAATAAATAAATTTAAAAAAAAAAAAAAAAAAAAAAAAGAAGAGGAAAAGAGACTTAAGTAACTTAGCCACAGCCAGTCAGACCTGTTTTGGCCTTGTTTCTAGAGAATGAGCTCTATTTTTCAATGCAAAGTTAAAAGTTTGCTTTTTGCTATATAGCCCACTTGCAACATATTTTTCTCTAGGCAACTACTATTTTAACTTTGGTCTTTAAAACTTTTTTTTTTTTTAAGATTTTATTTATTTGACAGAGAAAGCAGGGGGAGCAGCAGAGGGAGAAGCAGGGCCCCCACTGAGCAGGGAACCCAATGTGGGTCTCGATCCCAGGACCCTGGGATCATGACTTGAGCTGAAGGCAGATGCTCAACTGACTGAGCCACCCAGGCACCCTGGTCTTTTTTTTTTTTTTTAATAGGCTGTTTATTGTGCAATAATTTTATTTTTTTAATTTTTTATGTATTTTTTTAAGCATTTTATTTATTTATTTGAGAGAGAAACAGAGAAAGTGAGAGAGAGCACAAGTGGGTTGAGGGGCAGATGGAGAAGCAGACTCCCCGCTGAGCAGAGAGCCCGATGTGGGGCCCGATCCCAGTAACCTGGGATCGTGACCTAAGCCGAAGGCAGATGCTAACTGACTGAGCCACCCAGGCACCCCAATAATTTTAGATTTATAGAAGAGTTATAAAGACAGTGCAGAGAGTTCCTATATATCCCTCACCCCATTGTTACCATCTTATATCTCCATGGTACTTTTGTCAAAACTAAGAGACTGGTGTTATTAGTACGTTACTATTAACTAATCTCTAGACTTTATTTGGAGTTCACCAGCTTTTCTATTAATGCCTTCTTTCTGTTCTAGGATCCGGTCTAGGGTACCACACTGCATTTAGTTATCATGTCTCATTCGTCTTCTCTGGTCTATGACATTTACAGTCTTTTACTTATTCCATGTTTTTCATGATTTTGACGTTCTTGAGGAGTACTAACCAGTTGTCCTATACAGTGGCCTTGAATCTTGGTTTGTCTGATCCTTGTCTCATTAATAGACTGGACTTACAGGTTTTGGGGAAGAATGCCACTAAGGGGAAGTACTCTTCTCACCACGTGACATTACAGATGATGTTAACCTCTGTCATTTGGTTAAGGTCAGGTTTGCAGGTTTCTCCCCTGTAAAATCACTCCTATTCCTTTTCCATACTCTGTTCTTTGGAAGTAAATCACTAAGTTTAGCCCATCCTTTCAGGGAGGGGGATTAAGCTCCATCACCTGGAGGGGGAAATATTTACATATTTATTTGGAAATCTTCTGTAAAGTGTTGTCTCTTCTTTCCTAATTATTCAATCTTTAAATGGACTCATGGACACATATTAGTAGGGACTCATAAGTATTTTATATTTTGGGTTATAATCTAACACTACAGTATTCATCCTGTTGTTCAGATTGTTCTAGCTTTGACCATTGGGAGGTCTTTTCAGGTCATTCTCTTTGGAATGTCCCGTCCTTTTGTTTTTTTGAGCACTTCTTTATTTTCTGGCACTACAGGATGCTCCAGGCTCCTCTTGAATCTCCCTGCCCCAGTCCTAGAATCAGCCATTTCTCCAAGGAAACTGGTTCTGTTGGGTTTCTCCTGGAGTATCATTGCTTCTAGGCCCTGTCAGCAGACAGCTAGGAACTACATGTCTGTATGCTAATGCATGTATGCACACATATCTCTAGTTGTTCCTGTATCTCTCCATCTGCACGTATACTAAATAAACACAAGTTCGAACCTGATGTCTCTGACTCTAATCCAGTGCCTCAGGGTTTATCCCTTTCTTGTTTACCCATAGCCTCCCATGGACAGTGAAAAACCTGGTTCCCACTATTCACTGTCCACCCACTTAATTGTTCAGTCCCAGGACACCTGCACAGTATTTTCAGAATTGTTAATTCACACTCCTGTGAGAAATACTTACCAGTTAGAATATGATATTTACAGTCCTTTTGTCTTTAGCCTTATAATTTCTAGTTAAAACAGTTTTGTAAAGTTCCTTAGATCAGCTGCCTATTCTTCCCCTACCTCTTTCATTGCAGTTATGCCGTGCAGTTCTGATATACTTACATGCATTTGTCCCAGTCTACATCCCATCTTGAAATCCCCCACCATCACGGCTGATGTTTAAATTTGATAAAGTTCAACTTAATTAATATTTTCTTCCATGTATTATGCTTTTGGTGTTGTATATAAAAACATACCAAACCCAAGTTCATGTGGATTTTTCTCTTACATTTTCTTCTAGAATTATATAGTTTTACATTTTACATATAGATCCATGATCCGTTTTGAGTTAATTTTGTTTTTAAGATTTGATTCATTTATTTATTTGAGAAAGAAGGAGCAGAGGGAGAGGGACAAGCTGAGTGCAGAGCCTGACGCTGGGCTTGATCCCACAGCCCTGAGATCATGACTTGAGCTGAAACCAAGAGCCAGACACTTTAACCCACTGAGCCACCGAGGTGCCCCCCATTTTAAGTTAATTTTTATGGAAAAGTATTGTCAGGTTTTTTTTTTTTGCATATGACTGCCCAGTTGTTCGAGCACCATTTGTTGACTATCCTTTCTCCATTTAATTACCTTTGCCTCTGTCAAAAATCAGTTGGCTGTTTTTGCGTGGGTCTGGTTGGGGCTATTTTGTTCCATTAATCTATTTGTCCTTCTGCCAATACCAGACAGTCTTGATGATTACTTGTTAAGCCTTGAAATGAAGTGACTTGAATATTTTGGTCATATTAACCTTTAAATATTTATGATTTAAAGCTTTGGGTTTATTTTGTAATATAAATTATTGTCATTTTTTTCCCCTACCAGTTTCTCCTGAGTCCATTGTCTATCCCATCTTCAGTGTGTCTTCGGTCAATACGAAAAGGTAGGGATTGCTCTTGTTTTAATGTTTAAGGTTTATTTAATTTTGAGTCCTTTGGGTATCTTTCTTTTTCGCACTATTTAATTTGGAGAATATATTTTTTCTTCCCCACTTAGGGGATATTGAGAATAAGATGAAATCAGGCCCTCTCATAAAAACTTCATAAGAACCTAAGAGAAGACACTTAATTGACTGAGCCACCCAGGTGCTCCATTTTGCTAACATTTTTATACAGTACCTGACCCATAATAAATAGTTTATATCCTTTATCTCACTTGATTCTTACAACAACCTAGAAGGTAGATACTACTAATAATTCCATTTTCAGCTGAGGAAACTGATAGTAATCCAGTTACAATCGCACAGCTCTTAGGTGCCACAATCTTAGCAGCCACGACTAGAGTCCATATCTGAATTCGGCTATATTGCCTTTCCTGGGTGATAATGTATTAACAATAGTTCATGTTTAATGAGCATTTACAACCTTATGATGTAGGTACCATTATTTACCCCATTTTATCGACTAAGAAACTGGCCAGAAGAGTGAGTAACTTGCAGCAGTTCAGTGCTCTTATAAATCCCAGCTGAAACTACCACTATCCTAGTCAAAGCTAAGACTGGGATGGGGGAGGCATGGGTGGGTATGAGGAGAATCGGTGGGAAAGCTCTGGAAAAGAAGTTTCTTAATAGTCTTAACATCTTCCTAAGTGGTTTTGGTCCTTTTCTCCCCACTTGATAAATAACTGGAGATATCGAGCAAGGAAATTCTAGCTTGGTTCTACTTTCAGAGTAGCTCACCTTAAGTCATCTCAGAGATTGGGTTGGGTGGGCAACTTTCCTTTTTCCAAAACCATATTCCTAGATTTTTGTACGTTTCCATTTTTTCATCTGTCTTCTTTCATCACTATTTATTGAGGATTGAAACCTACCACAATTAGCTGATAAAAGTGTATACACTAATCTAATCTAGCCTAAAGAGATACTAGGATACTATTGGTTGAATTGTTCGAAATTTCTTTTTATGTAGAACCCAAAAGGTCAGATCTCATCAATTCCTTATGGTTTAACCTATGACTTTTAATTTAGGTAGGTTACAGATTCTCCAGGCTCATTGTCTCACATTCATTTTTTGTTTAGTCACTCATTTGGCATTTAGAGAGTACTATGCGGTACTGAACTATACTGAGTTTTGGAGCTGTGAAGATAAATAACACATAGTTCTATCATGGAAGTTATGGTTGAAGGAGGACAGGCATTTAAACAAATACATATAATAAAGTGTTAAAATTACTAAGGTGGAATAAAGAGGGGCGCCTGGCTGGCTCAGTCAGTTGGGTGTCTGCCTTCTGCTCAGCTCATGATATCAGGGTCCTGGAATGGAGCCCTATGTTGGGCTTCCTGCTCAGCGGGGAGTCTGCTTCCCCTCTGGCCCTCCCTCCCACCCCGCTCATGCTTTCTCTCTCTCTCTCTGTGTCATAAATAAAATCTTTAAAAAAAGAAAAGAAAAGAAAGAAAAAGAAAGAGATTGTGGTCATACATGCAGGGATGGGAAGAGCTGAGTTCCTTAGCAAAGGTTGCATAAACAAGAGGGGGTCAAGCAACCTAGAGTGTGTGTTTTATATAACAGGCATGTACCATTAGTGGTTTGTCAGCAGTTTAAAAGCATCGTATCTAGCGTTTTTTAAGTGGAATAATGCATCTCTCACATTTATTAACAGTAAGTTATTTAGTGAAACTTTTGTTTTTAGTTTTATATGTGTGTCTGTATTGGTCAAAATGTAAAATATATTTCTTACCATGATATTGCCAAATCAGCTGGAAAGATATTCTTCTAGTCAAATGATAACAGGGTAGCTTGGTTTAGCCTTGAAGCATTGGACAGGTTTTTCTCTAGTGTTTTGTTTTTGTTTTTGTTTTTTAGCTTGTTAGTTTTCTCTGAATCTCTTGCTTTGGGCCCTTGGTTTTTTCCTTGCCGATTTTCTTTACCTCTACTCTCCACAGATTTTTATTCCTTTCGTCCTTGGAAAACCAAGGTCCTTTCATTATAAGATGAGATTTACAAACTCAGGGCCTACAGAGATTGGGTGGGGGTTGGAGCCAACTGAAGAATGCATACCTCATCTAAAAGAGCATGCGCTGTGTTAGTTACATTCTTTGAAGACATAGTGGTCTGGTGATCTTATAGTGTCTCTTGCAATATTGGAAATACACATTTTTAAGTGAAATCTCTAGATTTTGAAATATTGGTAGCTAATCCAAAGTTTTAAACACTGTGTAAGCCAATCAAAACATCAAAACATGCTAGATGGATTTGGCCTGAGAGCCTCCAGTTTATAACCTCTGTAAGCCAATCCCAACATTCTTTCCTAATGAGAACAGGTTGCCTCAACACCATCTATCCAGCCAAAATATTTTTTTCCTAAGTATTTGAGAATAGTGAGGTGGTGTATTAGGTATGAGGACAAGTGAATATATTAGCCTCATTCAACTGCCCAAGTAAAGAGTTGTTGGATCATAATATGCTGGTGGCTAACTTCCTGTGGAACTATGAGGTTCAATAATAGAATCTACTTATTTGGGGCACCTGGGTGGCTTAGTCGTTGGGCAGCTGCTTTCGGCTCGGGTCCTGGGATCAAGCCCCACATTGGGCTCCCTGCTCAGCGGGAAGCCTGCTTCTCCCTCCCCCACTCCCCCAGCTTGTGTTCCCTCTCTCACTGTGTCTTTCTCTGTCAAATAAATAAATAAAGTCTTTAAAAAAAAAAATCACTTATTTGCTGTGGTGTTACAGGAATTTCTTTATGCCTACATGGGTAATTGTCCTAAAATTTGGCAAAGCAAAAAAAAAAATCACTTTTTAAGGAGGACGTCAACTTAAGACTGCATATGTGCATCTGATACTATAAATGTTAGAGTCCCTTGGACTTGGAGTTAGAAGATGAGAATTTGTGTCTTACTGCCACTCTTCACTAGTTACTTTACCTGGAGGAAACTACTGATCCTCTCTGAGTGGGCCTCAGGTTTCTCATAGTTCTGAGCCCTATTACTTCATCAAGTTACTGTCAATAGAGAGCAATAAAAATTGCAAGGTGCTCTGCAAGTATTATGTACATAACTGTTTTCATTGTAATTCCTCAGATATTTTTAATTTATTAAATAAATATTAAATAATTTATTAACTTTCATTTCTAAAGATCTTTAGTTGAAGAACAGTCTTCTGTGGGATCCGTCATATCTGCTAACTTCTTGAAACAGATCAATACGCAGAAAAGTACTAATACCAGAGATACAAATAAAGAAACAAAAGAGCAGCTCATCATTGTGAGTAAATTTAAAACAAAACTCCTCCTGTTTTGTGGCTCTCACATACAGAACATGAAGTCAGACATGTTGTCTTAGCATAGTTAACATGGTTTAGAGACATTATGAGTCTTGTAAATGCCAGCCTTTTTGTAGTGATAACATTTAAAGCTAGTCAAGTAGATTTTCAAACTCATAATGTTAGGCAATGCTAGTAATTTAGTAGAATGCTGATGAATCAGTTGTCTCCGGATAAGGAAAATTATTGTTGATCCACAAAAGATGTAATAAGAATAGCTACACTCTAATAGACCTGGGCTTGGTAAATTATGGCCGTGGACCAAATCTGAACCATGGCCTGTAAATTAAGAATAGCTTTGGTGTTTTTAAAGGGTTGGAAAAAAGAGAATAATATGAGACAAAAAGAGCCTAAAATATTTTCTATCTGGCCTTTTGCAGAAAAAGTTTTACAACCCCAGTATTCATTCAGAACTTGGTATTTTCAGTAGCATTAAATATTGCCTCATGAGATAGAATGTAAGTTAATAAGTCACAAAATTGAATATTCCTGACTTGCCTACATTCATGAATTTATCTGTGCTTTTTCTGAACTTTTATTATGTATTTTTTTATCAACTCTTGGGGCAAAGAATTTTAATATTCCTAATCACTTAAGGAAAAAATACTATATAATGAATATACAAGTCCTGAGATTTTTGCCCTGCCTCTTTTAAACAAGGCCTTTTCACGGCTCATTTAAGAGCTTAATAAAGAAGCACTATTGTTCATCTTAGCTATTATCTTTATGATTTAATCTGATTCCTTCTAGAATTATGGGTCCAGCCAAGGGATCTTGATTATTTTATACCATCAAAGAGACAGTTTGATTTCTTTCATCAATTTATTGCATTTTTAGGTCTCTTCTCATTCCATTTTGTTTAGGAGATGGGGGAAGAGCATACAGTAACCAGACTTTCATTTAGTATTTTACTTGTGCCGGCATAAAAGAAAAATAGGGAGAAATTTGAGTGAGTGGTTACATGAACTAAAATACAGAGCTATTTGTGATATGTTTAAGATGGGCTTTTTCTTTTTCTTTTCCCAATTACAGGACGCAGGTCAGAAACACTTTGGAGCAACCATGTGTAAGTCTTGCGGTATGATCTATACTGCCTCCAGTCCTGAAGATGAACTACAGCATGTTCAGCATCACTACAGATTTCTGGATGGCATCAAATACACAGTAAGTCAAAAGTAGTCTTTCAGTTTGTTCTAAAAGTAAAACTGCCTTAAAAGATACATTTCTTTTGCTTAAACATTGAAAAGATATATATCCATAAATACCATCTGCAGTTTTGTTTTCAAAATATTTGAGGCTGATGGTATTTGAAAGCTACCTTTTATAAAAGTGCCAGTTCAAACTTTCTATCCTAGTATCAGTATTGTTCTAGGCTGAGTGAACACCCTTCATTCTTAATTCTAGCCTTTTGAGCAGAGCTGAACAATTAGGATACAAAACTCAAAGACTTGAGGAGACCTCACTTCCCTGCACCTCCTCACTTTCTTCTTTGTAGATTAGAAAAACAACTTTTCTATGACTTCTCCAGGCTTTTTCTTTTCTGATAGGAGAGGTTCCATCTTTTTGTCAAGCACCTTTCTAGCCCAGTACATCCTGTTGTTGGCCTTTGTGACTGTTCCTGCTACTCAAATGCATTTCCTTTTTTCCTCTATTTTTAGTGTGGTTTATTAAAGCTCTGCTTACCCTAGCCCTCCCCCACCTTCCTACTCCTAATAACTCATCATTTTTTCTCTATATTCCTATGAAGGGTTCTTTAACTGACTTCATCTTATTTTGTAGTAGATTATGTACATGTCTCCCACTAGGGTGTCAGCCTCCTGAGGACAGGCAGTGTATTTTAGGCCATCTTTTATTTCCCTTCTCACATCCCTTGAGATGGATTGTGTCTTTTTTCATATCATTCATTGTTCATCTTTTTGTTCTCTCCAGACTATTTGATGTTTTTTTTCTCTCTTTTTCAAATTAAACTGACTTTTTTCTTTTTATCAGGGCTGGAAAAAAGAACGCGTAGTAGCAGAGTTTTGGGATGGGAAAATTGTGTTGGTCCTGCCACATGATCCAAGTTATGCTCTCAGAAAGGTATGGAACATAAAAGTTTTTTAATCCTTGTTCTCCTCCTCCTCCCTTTTTCTCCTCTTACCGAGAAATCAACCTAAGTATAAAACACCTTTCCTGTGAGCTAATCCACTTTGATGTACATATGCAAGGATGACTCTCATAGTGGTTTATACAAAACTAAATTTCGAATTATAAGACAAAGTGTCAAAGATTAAAGAAAACAGTTATCTGTTTTATCCTTTACCTTCATTTTCACTTGCGAAAGATAAACTAAACTTTTTAATATTGAGAAATTGCCCCAGAGTCTTTTTCTGTGTTGGTTTTGTCTGTTTCTTGGACTGGATGTTGAGCTCCCTAGCGAACAGTGAATAAAGCTGAAACAAAATCTCTTCTGGCACTTCCCACTCCTTACTCCCCCAGGAGTCTGCATTTCTTTCTGCTGAAAGTGATCTGTAAAATAGGTTTTTCAAACCTTGTTTCCAGAGTGGCAGATACATGCATCAATAGTGAAATAATTTGGGGATTGTATAAATTTAGGGAATAGAGGTAAAAAAGGCTAAAATGATAGTAATCAAATTAATCTCTTTTGGTTTTTAACATCATTAGGTAGAGGACGTCAAAGAACTTGTTGATAATGAATTGGGCTTCCACCAAGCTGTTCCCAGATGTCCAAACAAAACTAAGACTTTTCTCTTCATATCTGATGAAAAGAGAGTAGTTGGGTGTTTAATTGCAGAGCCCATCAAACAGGTATGGTATATGTCTTTTAAATTATTGGCATAATGTGTGGGCAAAATAAAGTAGTTGGGTGAAATCTCCATAAGCATTTAAGAATGCTATCATTGATGACTTTTTTCCCTACCAAAGTATCCTTGACCATATGGATAATTGAAATCTTTTATTTCTATTATATTTGGTATTTTGTCATATGTAAGCAGAATAAGTCAGTCAGTCTTATGTTCATGTAGTCATTTCCATACCTGGACTATAAAATATAGTGATTTTAAATAAGCAAATCTAGGGCGCCTGGGTGGCTCAGTTGGTTAAGCGACTGCCTTCGGCTCAGGTCATGATCCTGGAGTCCCAGGATCGAGTCCCACATCGGGCTCCCTGCTCAGCAGGGAGTCTGCTTCTCCCTCTGACCCTCTTCCCTCTCGTGCTCTCTATCTCTCAATCTCTCTCTCTCAAATAAATAAATAAAATCTTTAAAAAAAAATAAAAAATAAATAAGCAAATCTATAGAGCCCAGATGTTGAACATGTGGTTTAGTGCAGGTTAATGTAGCTGGCAAAATAATTATTGTCCCTTAATTAGAATCTATTTTAGGTGCTAATTACCAATGTTCTGGAAGAGGAGTTGGCAAACTTCAGCTCATGGACCAAGTGTAGCCCACCACCTGTTTTATAAATAAAATTTTATTGGAACACAGCTATGCTTATTTATTTCCATATTATCTGGGATTGCTTTTGTAACAGAGATCACCTGGCTCAAAGAGCCTAAAATATTTACAACTTGGCCCTTCACAGAAAAAGGCTGCCAACTTTTGTTCTAGAATAGAGATAGTTTTTGCCTCCAAGGATCTTATAGTATAATCTTTAGCTAGAGAGAATTATAGTTCAGATGTGTTCTTTTTACTTGACTTTTTAGTATCCCACACTTATGTCTCCTTCCTTTTAAAAATAGTTTCAATATGTCTTAAAATGATACTAGCATAAATTTATCCTATACCTTTCTCCTCTCATTTCTACTATCTTTTTTTTTTCTTAAAGATTATATGTATTTATTTGAGAGAGAGCACACGCACAAGCAGGGGGAGGGGCAGAGGGAGAGGAAGAACCAGACTCCTAGCTGAGTGGAGAGTCTGATGCGGGGCTCAATCCCAGGACTGTGGGATCATGACCTGGGCCAAAGTCAGACGCTTGACCGACTGAGCCACCCGGGCGCCCCTCATTTCTGCTATCTTTATTGTTCTTCCTTATTTTCTCTTTTTATCTGCTTTTTCATTGTATGTGATATATATGTGTGTGTGTGTGTGTGTGTGTACACACAATATAGTGTCTCTTGTGGGTTTATCAGAAAATGGAGAGAAAAGTAGCTGGTTTGTATTAGTGATCAGTTTGGCCTTTTCTTTCATTTTAAAGAAGTAGACTATTTATGTAGTGATGATAGACAAATATAGCCAAACATATTCTCTTCTACTTTTTCTTGTTTCTTATTTCAAAAGCAAAGTTTTCTTGATGGTAGTTAAAACTTAAGTACCCACCTATCAGAACAGCTACATTTAAAAATAGTGACAGTACCAAATGCTGGCAAAAATGCAAGGAAACTAGATCTTTTATTTTATTTTTTTTAAAGTATTTATTTATTTGAGAGAGCGAGAGAGTACATGAGATGGGGGAGGGTTAGAGGGAGAAGCAGGCTCCTCGCCGAGCAGGAAGCCCGATGCGGGACTCGACCCTGGGACTCCAGGATCATGACCTGAGCCGAAGGCAGTCGCTTAACCAACTGAGCCACCCAGGGGTCCCGAAACTAGATCTTTTAGACATTGTCGGAGGGAATATAAAATGTTAAGACTGCAAAACATTTGGCAGTTTTTTTTTTTTGTCTTTTTTTTAAGACATATTTATTTCAGAGAGAGAGTGCGTGTATGTGCACACAGTAGGGAGGGGCAGAGGGAGAGAATCCCAAGCAGACTCGATGCCGAGCCCGGCACCAACACGGGGCTCAGTCTCACAACCCTGAGATCATGACCCAAGCTGAAGCCAAGAGTTCTGGATGATCAACCAACTGCACCGCCCTGATGCCCTGGCAGTTTCTTAAAAAATTAATCATACGTTTTTCATATGACCCAGCAATCCTATTCCTGGGCATTTATCCCAGAGAAATGAAAACTTATTCTACACAAAAGCCCATACTTGAATGTTCATAGCAGCTTTATTTGTAGTAGTCAAAGCCTGGAAACAATGAAAGTGTTCTTCAGTAGGTGAATGATTACACAACCGGTACATTCATACAATGGAATATGACTTAGCGATAAAAAGGAACAAACTGTTAATATATGCAACAACTTGGTTAGATGTCAAGGACATTGTGCTAGTGAAAAAAAGACGATCTCAGAAGGTCACATGATGTATGATTCCATTTATATGACATCCTCAAAATAACAATTATAGAGATAGAGAACATATTGAAGTAGCCAGGGCTTAGAGATGGTGGAGGAGAAAAGGTGGGTGTCACTCTACAAAGGGAGCAAGAGAAAGGTCTTTTGAGATGGTACAGTAGCTCTGTGTCCGGGTTAAGCTGTGGTGGTGCTTAAATGAGTATACAGGTGTGATGAATTGTCCCATGATAGGGAACTATATGTATACATTATACTTAACGTTAATTCCTTGGTTTTGGTATTGTACTGTAGTTATGGAAAATATAACTATTGGAGGAAACCGGGTGAAAGGTACATTATTTCAAAATAGAAAGTTTAAAAAGATCCTTAAATACCAACCAAATTTCATAGTTAATATACAAAAAATCTTCTTTAGTATTATCAGTTTTTCAGGATATCATAAATATAGTTTAGGCTGGAGAGAATGGGAGAAGTTTATGTACTGGATTAAAAGTAAGAGTCTGATTTTTATAATTTTTTAATCCGAAGAAGGAAGTTTCATAATGGTATGTAATACACTAGAATGTAGGAATATCTCAACACCGGTAGTTTTTTGTGTTTTTTTTTTTAAACATTGTGTGACTAAATGGATAAGACTTCAAAAAGTATCAGAATTTTAACATTTTTGGTGAAGGCATAACAAGATTAATTTTAGATACTTAAGTCTTATTTAAGGAATGGCTTTTAAAAAGAAATGTGAACTCAACTGTACTGTTAGCTCTAGATGCATCTGTATATCATTGCAGGCCTTCCGTGTCCTTTCTGAACCAACTGGTCCAGAATCCCCAAGCTCTAAAGAATGTCACCGGGCTTGGCAATGTTCAGATGTACCAGAACCTGCAGTCTGTGGAATAAGTAGAATCTGGGTCTTCAGACTAAAACGAAGAAAGCGCATTGCACGACGATTGGTAGATACTGTCAGGTAAGAAATAAAATAAAATGGATTATTAGATTAGCTTTCCCAGAACCTTTGCTGGCTCATGAGTCAAAGGGAACGATGTTGTTAAGACACTTCTGTTTAAATACTACCAAAGTCAGGCTAAGGCAAGTGTTGGCACTGGGGGAAAAAACCCACTAGAGGTACTCAATTTAGGGCACAACATTCCAAGTATGAAACATGATAGCCCAGTGTTCATCAAACTACCTGCGGTAAAAAACTAGTTTAATTATAGACCAACACTTTAATAAAATGAGATGAATTGCTAGAAAATGAAATAGAAAAGCAAAATAGAAAATACAAGCCCAAATTTTTATTAGATTCAGCAGATGTAAATAAAAGTTAACATTGCAATAAATATAATTTATACAAACAAAATACAGGTTTAAAAAAAGAACTACAGAAATTGTACATGTTCATTGACTAGTGTGTGACCAGGTATAATTAATGAAGACTTACTATAATTCACAAGGGTAACTAAATGGAAAAGTGAGTTAGCAAGGCAAGCCACAACATGGGAGAAAATATTTGCCAATCATTTATCTAATATATCCAGCATATATGAAAGAACTCTTATTACACAATAATAAAAAGACAGGTAGCTCAATTTCAAGATGGGCAAAGGATTTCAATACACAGTTCTCCAAAGAAGAAATACATAAGGCTCCTATCAAGGATTTGCTAACCAGGGGCGTCTGGGTGGCTCAGTCAATTAAGCGTCTACCTTCAGCTCAGGTCATGATCCCAGGGTCCTGGGATCGAGCCCCGCATCGGGCTCCCCACTCAGCGGGGAGTCTGCTTCTCCCTCTCCCTCTGCCTGCCACTCTGCCTACTTGTGCTGTCTATCTTTCTGTCAAATAAATAAATCTTTAAAAAAAAAAAAGGATTTGCAAACCAAAACCACGATGAGATACCACTTCACACTCACTAGCGTGACTATAAATTTTTTTATTTATATTTATTTATTTTTTTTTTAAAGATTTTATTTATTCATGAGAGACAGAGGCAGAGGGAGAAGCAGGCTCCCCGCGGAGCAGAGAGCCCGATGCGGGACTTGATTCCAGGACCCTGGGATCATGACCTGAGCCGAAGGCAGACGCTTAACCGCCTGAGCCACCCAGGCATCCCTATAAATTTTTTTTTAAAGGGGGAAAATAACAAATATTGGTGAAGATGTGGAGGAAATTGGGATCCTTGAATTTTGCTGGTAGGAATGTAGAATGGTACAGCTACTGTGGAATAGTCTGGTAGTTTGCAGAAAACTAAACTATTAACCATATGACCCAGCAGTTCTGCTCCTAGGTATATACTCAAAAGAAATGAAAGCATGTGTCCATATAAAAACTAATACATGGGGGGTGGGGGGATGGGTCAGCCTGGTGATGGGTATTAAAGAGGGCACGTTCTGCATGGAGCACTGGGTGTTATGAACAAACAATCAATCATGGAACACTGCATCAAAAACTAATGATGTAATATATGGTGATTAACATAACAATAAAAAAATTTGAAAAAAAAAAGAAAAAAAAAAACTAATACATGAAGCTTCATAACAGCATTATTCGTAAGAGCCAAAAAAGTGTAAACAACCAAATTCATGATTAATGGATAAATACAATGTGGCATTTCCATACAATAATACAATGGGATCTTATTTGGCCACGGAAAGCAACGAAGTATTAACCTCTACTACAACATGGATGAACCTTGGAAACAATATGCTAATTGGAATAAGCCAGTCACAAAAGGCCCCGTATTGTATGATTCCATTTACAGAAAATATCTAGAACAGGCATATCCACAGATAGAAAATAGACTAGTAGTTTCCAGGGACTAAGGCCAGGGTGAATGGAGAGTGACTACAGATCGGTACAGGGTTGCTTTTTGGGGTGATGAAAATGTTCTGGAATGGATATTGGTGGCAGTTGCACAGTGATGTGAATATACGAAAAACCACTGAATTGCACACTTTTAAAGGGTGAGTTTTATGATGTATGAATTGTATATCAATAAAAAATAGTGGTTTGCCATTTTAAACTCCCAGGTTCACACTTGCAACTAACATTTAATTCATTGAAGTTTCCTCTGTGACAAATGAACTTACTTCTTGCTTGTTAATGTACCTGATCTAGGTTGGCTGGATGAGTTTCACAAAACTTATTCTCTCAACTTCTGTTCCTAAGATAACAGGTTACAATCCAGTGACCACACTTTGACCAGACCAGGGACCACAGTTTGAGTAGCGCTAGTCAAACCTGTTGAGTCCTATACACTTTAAGAAAGAACACCCAAAACCACTGTGGGATCCAGTGTTGGGCCATAATCCTGGTCCCCTGCACATTCCTTATAAAGGGGAACAGTGAGAAAAATTAGTGTCTGTGAAGATTTTTATTTGACAGTTAATTATGAAATATCTCTACTTTCTGTATTTTATGTTAAGAGATGCATACATTTGGCATGGGGAATACCAGTATCTAGCCTAGTTCCACCAGTCTGTAGTCCAGTGCTTCTCAAACGTGCAAGTATGTATCAGTCACCTGGGGATCTTGTTAAAATGCAGGTGTGATTCAGTAGGTTGGGGTGGGGCCTGAGATTCTGCATTCCTGATAAACTCTCAGGCAATGATGAATGTTGCTGGTCTGTAGATCATACTTTGAGTACCAAAGCAATAGGTTATCTATAAGCAATAATGAATAAAAATTAAGTTGCCTTTAACGGAGAAATAAAAATATATTCATTTGAGAACACATTTCTCTTCTCAAGCCCGGGAATTAAAGATACAGGTAGCATAATTGGCAGCTATCCTGTATATATATTATACACAGGATATATATATTGGGCAATATATATTTAAGTCCTCGCAAGAGTAGAATATTGTTCATGGTTGTTTTACCTAAGAAGCAACTGAGGCTCACCTGGGATTATTAGTACACGTCTATACTGATAGGTGAATAAAAGGACAGAGTTAGGACTCAAACCCACAGATCTAATGTTCTTTCCATAGCTGATACCACTTATGAAGAGAGTAAGACCTATTTAATATTTTGCTTTGGATTCTAGTAAATTCAGCAATAAACTTTGTATGAAATTACATAGTATACCATATGCTTATATCTTCTAATTGAATCCAGTCTTTAATTTTTTATTTTTTGAAATAATTTCAAACCTATAAAAGAGTAGCAGAAATAGTAAAAAGAAGCCCTTATTTACCTTTGCCCAGATTCATCAAGTTTTAACATTCACTTTCTTCCTGAATTATTTAGAAGTTATATACATTATGCCCCTTTAGCCCCTCGTACTTCATTCAGTGTGTATTTCTTAAGACCAAAGGTAGTCTCTTTCATAAGCATACTTCAGTCATCAAACACAGGGTATTTAATGTTAATGTAATGCTTTTATCTGACGTATAGTTCAAATTTCCGTTTTGTTATTTGTCTTCAAACGTCCTTCCCAGCATTTTTTTTTTTCCTGCCAGGATCACACTGCACGTAGTTGTCCTAGCTCTTTCGTCTTCGTCTTCCTTCACTTGGAACAGTTTCTTAGTGTTTGTCTTTTATGGCATTGAAGAATTTGAAGAGTACTGGCCAGTTATTTTTGGAATATCCTTCAATTTTGTTGAATTCTTTTAACCATTTCATTTTATTACTTTTAATCCTAGTTGAGCTGGGTCAGGAGAGTTGTGGTCAAAATGCAGGTTAGTTTTTGCCTCCTTAAAGCTCTGAGCTTGTGGTGTGGTTGAGGAGAATAGTTGTTGGTTAAAATTGTTGATGGTGGTTTTTTGGTTTTAATGAACTGTGGCTTTTAGTCAGCAATATTATCGTCTATTCGTTGCTCATCACCATGGGTCCCCTGGAGTCAGCTAGATGGTTTTTATAGCTCTTTTTGCCTCTCAGCAGAATTTTTTCTGGACCTCAGTTTGCTCATCTGTGAAATGGTATCATTAAGACTTCCATTTCTAAAATCTAAGGCATTAAATCACTTTATCACTTAATTTTTATTTTAATCAAGAGTATTTAAAGAGATTGAAATTGTATGTTTGGGTTGCTTTAAAATAAATAATGCTAATTATTAGTTGGAATTTTAAGTTGGTTCCATTGTTAAATTGTCTTTTCCTCTTCTTTAGGAATTGCTTCATGTTTGGCTGTTTTCTCAAGATTGACGAAATAGCATTTTCTGACCCAACACCAGATGGCAAGTTATTTGCAACCAAATACTGCAACACCCCTAATTTCCTTGTATACAATTTTAATAGTTGAAGCCAGTGTCTACTATAGAACAGTTACTGGGTGGATGAGTTCAGACAGCCCCATATCATATAACATTTAGTAAATATCAAAATAAATATACTAAGACACACACATACACAAAAACCTGTATTGGTTTTGTTCCTTATGAATTGAAAAGTGAGGGATAAATTTGTTGAAAATTTTCTGGGGATTCAAAAAAAATTTTTTTTTGGATAATATATACTGACTAGCACTGGAATCCTTAATTATGAAACTTTGTAGCTATTACTGGAAAATGACATGCCTCCTACATAAAAACATTGACAAAGCAAGGTGGTTTCCACAGATATGTGACCACTTACCTTTTATAAAGCACACTTTTGCACCAGGATTACCTCATGCCCAATCAGAAGCAAACAGCAAAATTTAAAGATGGGCAAATAATTTCCATGCCCGGTCTTTAAAGGTAATTCCTGAATTTTGTACACAAAATTCTCACTTTATAGGTATTGGCTGGAGCAATTCAGTTTGAACAGATTTAGTAAGTATTTTGAATTTTTAATTTGCAAGAGGGCTTTTGCCTCTTTATGGTAAAGAATGAGTAAGATTTCCATATCCTTTTATGTGGAACAGAATTCTGTAGCTTAAGGTTTTAATCCTTTCGAAAATCATATTAAGCAAAATGTACCTGTCATCGGATCCGAATACAATTAAACGTAGTAATTGCACTATTGTCATTCCATGACCTTTGGGAGTGTGAAAATGCTAATTTGGGCTGCTTACCTTCAGTGCCCTTGTTGCTCGTTGCTGGGGATTGACGGCATTAACAGAATGGACCCCTAGTTGGATTAGATGATTCATATGGTTACATTTTTAAAACTTTTGCATGTTTAAAATACATCTGACTTGTTCTGAGGAGTCTGGCTGCAATGCTGACAAAGTGAATAGTAATATTTAACTGAGGTCAGTAAATCAATGTATGTAGGTGGATGGGCCAGAGAATGTGATGACGTTATGTAAACACACCTCATTATGCACACATTTTTCTGGTATAATTCTTGGATACTTACTTTGGAGAGCAAAGAATATTGTTTTGATTCTAAAATTCATGTAACTGCTTATCTGGCAGTAGGACTCTAGGGAAGTAGTTTTCCGGGTTATAACTCTGTAGAATCAGTTCATCTACATTCTTGCATTTGCCTGTAAGTTAACATGTTTCCAAAATTTAAAAGCCTAGATTCCAAAAAGAATGTGGAAGTGTAAAATGTGTGTAATATGCGAACATTTTAATGCTGTTTTCTGCACTGCTGTTTTTGTTTTAAATATTTTATTTAAAAATTTTTATTAACATTATTTTGCTTGCTCAATGCTTTGTGATGAATCAATTAAAATTCCTTTCAATGTTCTCTGTTCTCTTATACAACCAAATGTATTGATTTTCTTTCCAGATTATTTTTGTGATTATAGAAACAGTACATGCTCATTGATTGTAAAAACCAATCATTGAAAACATATCCACACGAAAACCTGCCCACTGGACGTTTATAGCAGCTTTATTCATAATTGCTAAAACTTGGAAACAACCAAGATGTCCTTCAGTAGATGAATATACATCCAGACAATGGAATATTATTCAGTGCTAAAAAGAAATGAACTATCAAGCCCCAAAAAGGCAGAGAAACCTTAATATTACTGAATGAAAGAACCCAATGTGAAAAGGTTACATACTATATGATTCCAGCTGTATGATAGTCTGGAAAAGGCAAAACTATGGAGACAGTAAAAAGATCAGGTGTTCAGGGGGGAGGGAAGGATGAATACGTGGAACACAGGATTTTTAGGGCAGTGAAACTAGTCTGTATGACACAAAAGGGTGGATACACTTTAAACGTTTGTCCAAACCCATAGAATGGACAATACCAAGAGTAACCCCTAATTTGTCAGTGTATGTTCATCAGCTGCAACAAATATCCCACTCTAATAGGGGATGTTGACAGTGGGGGAGGCTGTGCATGGGGGGGAAGGGAGTACATGGAAATCTCTGCTTCCTCCTAATTTTGCTATGAACTTAAAATTGCTCTAAAAAATGAAATTTAACAAAAACAAGAAAAGGATAACCTGAAAAATTATTATAGCCAAGGAGACATGACAACTAAATGTAATGTGGGATCCTGGAACAGAAGAGGACATTAGGTGAAAACCAAATCTAAATTAAGTATACTTTAGGTAATGTAGCAATATTGGTTCATTGGTTTGTTAATTGTGACAAATATACTAACTTAAAATGTTGAGAGTAGAGGAAGCTAGGTGTGGAGTATATGGGAATTTTCTGCAATTTTTCTGTAAATAAACTTCTTTAAAAGTTTATTTTTAAAAATGTACACCTTAGTTATCAAACACCTTCATAATTACTACCCAGGATAAAAAAATAAAACACTGCCTCATGTTCTCTTCAATCATCATTTTCCTCAAACGATTACTACCGTTTTTTTAAAAGATTTTATTTATTAGAGCACAAGTGGGGGGTTGGGCTGGGGGGCAGGGAGAGGGAGAAGCAGATTCCCTGCCATTGGGAGCCCGACTTGGGGCTTGATCCCAAGACCCCGGGATCATGACCTGAGCCAAAGGCAGATGCTTAACCAACTGAGCCACCCAGGTGCCCCGTAACTACCTATTATGTCTAAAATTTTAGTCTGTTTTTTAACTTTATATAAATCAAATATGTTGTCAAGATGCATCCATGTTATTTCATCTAGTTGAAACCCATTTTCATTGCCGTATATCTATTATAGGAATATACTGTAATTTATATTACTGTTGATAAGCATCTTTGTGACTACTTGAGCCTCTTGCCCTCGTATCTATTTATTATTGATTTGCTACCTTTGTCATAGATTGTGTCCAATACATGTGCCTATTTCTGCCTGTTTATTCCCACTAGCCTTGTGGGTTTTCCTTATTCTAGTACCACATTGTGTTACTACATTCTTGATGTTGGTATTCTAAATGCTCCCACCTTTTTTTCCTACAAGAGTATTGGGTCTATTCTTGGTCCTTTGCATTTGCATGTACAGTTTACAATCAGTTTGAGACCGTCAAAAAGCCATCACCAATTCAAAAAACAACTGTTGGGATTTTACTGGAATCGCATCAAATGTATAGGCCAATTTGGGAAAGATTGATGTAAAAGCTATTTTATCTTGTCTGTACACATGGTATATTTCTCCATTTATTTAGTTTCTCAGTAATTTGGGGTTTTCACTGTTGGAGGTCTTATGTAGTTTATTTAGATTTATTCTTAAGCATTTGATACTTTGAAGCCACTGGAAGTAAAGTTGTTAAAGTTTCATTTGTTTGCTGATAAAATACGACTGACTTTTCTATATTTGACCTTGCATTCAGCAGCCTTCCTAAACTTATTTAATTCTAAAGGTTCATCTGTAGATTCTTTTGGATTTTCAGTTTTGAATTAATGTCTCATTCCATTTTTCATAGGAAAAGCTTTCAACATTTCACTATTGTCTTAGTTGGGCCGCTATAACAAAAATACTATAGCCTGGGTGGCTTAAACAATTTATTTCTCAACAGTTCCCAAGGCTGGTAAGTTCAAGATCAAGGCACTGGCAGATCCAGGGCCTGGGGAGAGCCCACTTCCTGCCTTGCAGCCTTGCTGCGTCCTCTCGGGGCAGAGTTCATCTCTCCGTCAAGAACAATTAAGTCCACTCCTGAGGGCTCCACCTTCATGACCTAATCACTTCCAGATACCATCACATCAGGGATTGGTTAGGCTTCAACATGAATTTTAGTGGGACATAAACTTTCTATAACAATAAAATGTTAACTATAGCTTTAGATGTGAACACACTTATGTTAAGGAAGCTCCTACTCTCTGTTCCTAGGTTTCTAAGAGGTTTTGTTTTTATTTTCCAAGCTTTCAAACGTCTTTAACTGGATTTTATCAAAATTTTTCTTCTCTGGAGATCACTGAATTTTCTTCATTGGGCAAATATGAGGATTACATTGTTCTTTGAATGTTAAGTCAACCTAGTTGCCGAAATAATCTCAACCTGGCCTTGAAGTTTTTAGGTTATTGGTTTTGGTTTACTAATACTTGGGATTGTTTTCAGCTGTTCATGAACGAGATTGGGTATCAGGATATGTGCTGTTTCCTTTTCTCACTTATGATGCCTTTTTTACTCAATGATTCTTGCTAAGGCTTATTAGCTTATGAATTTTATTTGTATTTTCAAAGACAACTTTTGGCATTGATCCTATTATAGGTTTGTTTTCTGTTTTCTATGGTAGATTTTGTTTTTAAATATATGCTCATTTCTTTCCTTTTATTGGGAGTTTTGTTTTTCCTATATACTTAGCTTGCCAATTTTTCAGGGTTTTAATAGCATTTAAGATTATAAATCTCTATAAAGCACAACTTTAGCTGCACCCTCAAGTTTTTATATATAGTATATGATTATTTAAAAATCTCTTCTAGGGGCGCCTGGGTGGCTCAGTCGTTAAGCCTCTCCCTTCCGCTCGGGTCTTGATCCCAGGGTCCTGGGATGGAGCCCCGCATCAAGCTCCCTGCTCAGCGGAGAGCCTGCTTCTCCCTCTCCCTCTCCTTCTGCTGCTCCCCCTGCTTGTGCTGTCAAATAAATAAAATCTTTAAAAAAGAAAAATTTTAAAAAGAAAAATTTGCTAGGGGCGTCTGGGTGGCTTGGTCAGTTAAGTGTCTGACTCTTGGTTTCAGCTCAAGTCGTGATCTCAGGGTTGTAGGATCAAGCCCCGAGTCTGGCTCTGCGCTCAGTAGGGAGTCTGCTTGAGGATTCTTTCTTTCCCTCTGTCCTTACCCCGTCTCTCTCTCAAATAAGTAAATCTTAATGGTGGCTCAGTTGGTTGAGCAACTGCCTTCGGCTCAGGTCATGATCCTGGAGTCCTGGGATCCAGTCCCGCATCCGGCCCCCTGCTCGGTGGGCAGTCTGCTTCTCCCTCTGACCCTTGCCCCTCTCATGCTCTATCTCATTCTCTCTCTCTCAATTAAAATAAAATTTTAAAAAAATAAAAATCTAATTTTATTTTAATCAACGAATTGTGGATTAAGTAGGAACCAGGAGGCAATAAATAATCCACAATGTTTCTTGAGCAGCTACTGATCTCTATTTTCTAGAGGTGCAAACAGGCTCTTGACGGCCTTACCCTGATAGCAAAGGGAGATTTTCTGGGAGGTGAGAAAATGATTTGGGAGAATCCTGTTTGGATTTGCCAATTAAAATTAATTCAGCAGAAAGATTAGCCCTGCTGTATCCACCCAGTCACATTACCTTTCTGAGAATGAGGCAGATGGCCAAAAACAGGATAACATCTGAGACTTAAAAGAGCAAGTTCCGGAACAAGGATAGAAAACTTTCTTGGCATTGGCAGCAGATTGTCTGCAACTTTGTGTTGAGCCCCATCCAGACACAAACTGGAAAGCACGCCGGGAACATTTTGCAGTGTCTGCCATTGACAGGTGCTGTGAATTTGCTGACCCAGTTCTT